CGCGCCGGCTTAGAAGCTGCTATACCCTCGGATATCGTCCCTCTCGTCCCGGTTCCATCGTCTACTTCAGCCCTCTCCTAATTCCTACCGACTGCCCAACTTCGTCACTGCCGCACCCAACCAGAGCCACCACCATCTGCCGCGACACCATCGACGCCCGGCACATCTTTCGCCATTCGCCACCCAAAAACCTTCATCGGCCTGTCGCGTCCGCTTCCAGTCGTCCTCGTCCTAGCCATCTATTTCCTCTCTCTCTCTCTCTCTCCGCGTATAGAGCTTTCTTTTTCCATTTGATTCCCCACATAGACCGTACCTGACTTTGTGACTGGTAAGTGAGACGCTCCTTGGGCTTCAGCTGGCATCAAACCAGCCCCCGACGCCTCCTCTCTCCTCTCTCTCCCCCCCGCAACTCTACGCATTCCGGCAATCCAAGCGGCGGCAAAGGGCCTCGTCGATCAGACTGGAGCCTTCGCTGAGGCGGACAATCCCATCATTGCGCCCCTGCCTGTGCTTTCAGCCGGCTGCTCGAATTACATCATTCCCCGAGCTTCGGTGCTATCGTCGTTCGAGACATCTCGCCATACCTGCACGCATTGGGCTTATCGTGTTCCGGACTGATGCGCTAACAAGTTGGCAGTTTCTCTTTCATTCTTTTCGAATTTCTTCTTCGAGAGTTATATCCGTTCTATAAACTACGATTACTTCCGACTACCTTCTCGCATCTACCACATTTGACCGGTTGGCACCTCTGCCCAGAAGACTTCACGTGCTGGACCACTCCGCCTGATACCCTGAACCTTTCCTCGTCCTACATTACCGACTGGGCATTGGAGCATTTCTCCTCTGTATCAACATCTTCTATTGTCGATTCCTTGGGGAAGATTCACACACGCAAAAAGAAAGGATCACATCCAAAATACACAAAATCATCTCGAAGCTCGACTTTCGACCATGAGCTCGAACGCAGTCAAGAACGGCTCATCGGCGAGGTTGACCCAGGCGCCGTCCAACCAGTCCCTGCTACTGGAGAAGGTGAATGCCAGGACATCCACTCCCGACTCCGAAGCGCTCGCAAGCTCCGAAGACGAAGGCGACCATCGCCACGAAGCCTCCCAATCCCTAGCACAGCCCGTAAAGCCTGTCCGTCGGGCCTCTTGGCTGAACGATACATCTGCGCCCCTCAGCCGACCACGAAAGGGATCTTTCGCGAGCAACTCCATGTCTCCCACCACATCCCACCCCAGTACTCCCTCCATCGAAACGGGGGCGGGAGCCTGGGGATCTCATCCGACTTCTTCAGTCATGGGCCGCGGTCCAGGATCAAACTTCCCATGGGGGACTGGCATCTGGAACAATGATCGCAAAGACCCACCAGCGAGGCTCAGTGAGGTTCTTCCATCTCCTACCTCTACGGTGCCTCCCGGAGCTGGGAACAATTCCTTCTTTGGCCCAGATTCTTCTGGCCTTACCCCAACTACCTCCGCCACGCGAGAGCCCGGCACCAACTCGCAGATTCCCTTTCCCATTCCGCTCCATCCCACTCCAAAGACGTACCGCTCGCAGTCGTATTCCGCTGGACAGCTGGATCCTGAGACGTCTCCGGGCACTGGAATGAGTTCTTCCGCGCTCCTCGGTCGAGCCCGCTATCCTACTCTCCAGCACCGACCATCTCGGCCTAGCATGCTCAGTGAGATGGCGAGTGACGGGACCATGCTCGGAAAGGTCAAGGAGGTGGAGGATGACGACGATGAGGAGTCGTCCGAGTCGCTCCAGGGCTCTTTCCACCAGAGCGCCGAGTCCAAGACGATCGAGATGCTTGCACGGGAGAATGCCATGCTCAGGCAGCAACAACAGCAGCATCAGTACGGCACCCGCATTCGCCAGCGTGGTGCTCCTGGATCTTACCATGGCAACGGATATCCTCTTCGCGAGTTTGTGCCCGAGGAAGACTACGCCATCGACGAGCTCGACGAGACAAATGACGGTGATGCCCTAGCCAGACGGGCGACCGAGAGGCGGATGAGCGAGTTTGGCACAGCAGGCCCATATCGCAGCCCCATGGGCTATGACGGGCAGAAGGGTGTGCCCACCCTGAAGAAGGCTCTCTGGTCCAGCTCTCCCAGCTATTTCGCCAATGACTTTTCTCAGAGCAGGCGACACTCCTTTGCCAACATGCCTACCCGACAGGGCTCCATCAGCTCCATTGCCGATTCTGTCGCCACGTTGGAGGCCCCCAACCCTGACAACCCGCTCAACCAAAGCTATTCAGCAAGCTATTCGGACAACACCGCCTTTGGAGGTGCCAATAACGGTAAGTTCCAAGTCGAAGCAAATCGATGGTATCGCGCCGTCACTGACAAAGCTTGCACAGCCAACTTCTTCCCCGGAGGTGGCAACATGGCGGGCTCTATTCCATCTGCATTCGGTAATCCCTACATGTCCCAGTATGGCATGCACAACCAGTTCGCCAACCGGCCGCCGTCCCCCCATCGTAATGTGTACAGCGTGGGCCAGCCGAGACACAACCAGCTTCTGCACGTCGTACTTTTCAAGTGCGCCAGGGCAGATGTGTTCTACATCCAAGAGGGTACTGGGCTTACCGTTAAGCCTGGTGACTTGGTCATTGTAGAGGCTGACCGCGGCACTGATCTGGGCACTGTCGCACGCGACAACGTCGACTGGCAGACGGCTAAGGAGCTCAAGGAGCATTATGCAGAGGAGCAATACAAGTGGCTGATGATGTATTCTCAAAACGCTGCTGCTGCCCAAGAAGGCTCGGGCGCCGGTCTCCTGGCTTCGTCCAACGGCCTTCAAGGTAGCGCGATTGGCGGAATGGGACCACCAAATCAACACCACATGCAAGAGCCAAGCGCTGGCGAGCTTCGACCAAAGCTCATCAAGCGTCTCGCCCAGAATCACGAAATCCACTCCCTCAGGGATAAAGAAGGCCAGGAGGCCAAGGCGAAGCGAGTGTGCATGCAAAAGGTCAAAGAGCATGGCCTTAACATGGAAATCCTCGACGCCGAGTTCCAGATGTAAGTTTGCCTTGCGCCTCGCAGAGTGAATAGTAGACTGACTGAATCTCTAGGGACTGGAAGAAGTTGACCTTTTACTACTTCGCCGACTCCTACATCAACTTCAACTCCCTCGTCACCGACCTGTTCAAGATCTACAAAACGCGCATCTGGATGTCTGCCATCAACCCAGCTTCCTTTGCGAGCCCTACTCTGGGGATCCAGGCACCCAGTGGGGTTGGGCCAGGCGCCGTTGGCGTTGGTCGCGGTGCCAATGCAAATGAGCGCCGTCAGAACCAGACCTCGCAGCAGGAACAGCAGTCGCAGGCCTTTGCCGGTGCCGCCCAAGTTCGAGGAATGCGATCCGGCTACGCTCAGCCCCAGATGGCTGCGGATAGACAGGGGCCTCCGGCTACTGGCTTCCCCCCCTCCAACTACGCATACGGAACCGCTGGTGCCTTTGGAAATGGACGGATGAATGGCGGATATACTTTGGGCATCAACCAGGGCGTTGATCCCTTTGCCGGCACCGGATTCCCTCAGTCAGGCGATCTACAATCGATCCGCCAACGATTCCCGGCGTCGCAAACCATGCCATCTCCCGGGCCTCACTCTCAAGGCGTGACTGCCATGTCTCCTTCCAATGACTGGACGGCTTCTTTCCAGGGTCTTTCTCTCAACACTCATTGAACTTAGGACGGCAGAACTTGGACGAATCATCGCATGATTAGACTACAACACTCGTTCTTCAATTTTTGGGTTACATTTTTTTTGGGGAGCACGCCGATTGCTACACCTTTAAAGGATATTGGACGATAATGAAAGAACAAAAGAAGACAAAACATTTCTTTTTGCAACACGCGCGGCCATTTTATCAAGTTTTTCTTTTCTTTTCTTTTCTACTCCGGTAACGGCGGCGCTCAATGTGCATACACACGGGCGGAACCAAGTTGGTATTGAGTAGAGGAGCATTGCCCGCTAGGCTCCTCCCGCGACTGTCGTTACCTCTTTGAACATCCTTTTTTGTTATATACTACATATATACACACATTAACCCTCTTTGACTCTGGTACGGATAACAGGGTTGGTTACTGGACATGCGAGATTGAAAGAACTGGAGAAATGGGTATGGTTTTGCTTTCGCTTCCGCTTTGGCTGAGAATTATAGACAGAGATTTGAGTCTTTACGTATGCATGCCTGTAACTAATACACAATCTAACAAAGGGATCCGGTTTGGGTATTGCTGATGTCATGTGTGGCAAGGAAAACCTTTCTGTGAACCATTCTGTGATTTGTCTTTTCATCTTGTTTTTCTTGGTCTTGTCAATCGTCGCTCTTTCGACGAACAACAGTATCTTTCTTCTGCTACTACCCAGGGCTTTCACTTTGTATGGATTGAATGCGTTAGTGTTTGTGCAGGTAGGAGTATTCATGTCAAAAAAAAATATATATATATTGTTTTGCCTTCAAACCTGCATGATACTCGGGTATTCGACGTGATGTGATGATCTAGATAGGAATCTACTAACATGTTTGTTACGGCATTGAAGCTATCATTGACTGCCTGGGGGCAGAAGTGCGTTCATGTACAAAAGACATTCAAGAGGCGCCCGTTGAGCAACATTCTAGTCAATTGATTTGAATACGAATGCTTTAATCGATTGAGTGTATTATAGGTATTTATTCATGAAGGAATCAGCAACATTTTTGTTTCTTTTTGGCCTCCGTGCTGTACTTGATCGAATGTTACGTGCGTTGGCGGTACAGGGTTAGGTACCTTCACCTGGTCATGCAGCCCTCTGCTGGGCAAGTCCTCGACTTGAGGAAGGCACGACGCAACCACCCGCCCTTATTGAATTCGTACTTGACTCTGCAATATCGTCGCTGAGATATCTTTTTCTTTTCTATAATGTGCTGTTTTGTTATCCTGCGGCGTCTCTGTATTACGCACCATTGAACAGGTACGATTCACTGTTCGTCTCAACATGCCAGCGAGAACTCGCAAGAGAAAGACCTCTGAGGAGGGTAAGTTGCTATCCAATATGGTGTTCGATACTTTGAGTTCAATTCTCCAAGGCTGCTGACGTTCTATGCCTACCTAGAGGAAGCAGGTGCTGAGCAAGTCACCAAGCCCGCCACCAAGACCGCTCGGACGACCAAGAGAAAACCCAAAGCCGGGCAAGGAGATGCGACGAAAGGTGACACGGGGGCTGCGAAGAAAGGGCGGGCGGGTGCCAAGTAAGTCAAACTTGCGATCTGATCTGTGTTGAAATACCATGGTTATAACAATTCCTTTAAAGTAGTGGCTCGAGTACAGGTGGAAGGAAGCAGGCGAAGCCATCTGCGTCGGTAGCCAAGCGCGAGATCCGGAAGCAGGCTGACGATTTGCTCCTCATGTTGGAAAATCGATTGGATGGTGCTGGGTGATATACTCTCTTCTTTATATCTGGCTGTTTGATGCTAATGGTATGTCGTGTTGTAGGTCACACATAGGATCTGGCGCTGCTAGAGGCAGTCTGTTCAGTTCCAAAGTTGATGCAGTCCTGAAAGAGACTGGCGACATTGGACTCAACAAGGCAATCGATACTCGTTGTGTCGTATTCGAGAGTGTACACGGACGTATAAAGCACTTGCAAGAGTTAATGGACGAATTCGACACCATCAACAAGAGCTCCATCAACATCAGGAAGCCCACCGAGGGCCAACAGTGGACTCAAGATGCAGAGAACGTCGCAAAGGTTGATAAGAAGGCAATGGAGATTGCTATACAGATGCTCAACAGGGTAATCATTGCCGGTGAATACTCGAATCTTTCACGTGCATCGGCAGGTTCTGGCAGCGAGGTTGAGCAGGCCGCTTGGAAGTGGTTGGAAGGCGGCATGCCAGCAGCCGAGGACACTTGGGGATCGGCAGCACGAGAGACAGTCCGGGCTTTTGCGGCAATCACCAAGCTTCTGTCATGATTTAGATTCATATCAAGGTTCAATATAACCCGGGTTCGCCTTGCAGCAATTGGGCCACCAAGTAAAGGGTGTACCTTCAGCTCAAGAGAACTGCAAGCCCTCTCGCTTTCAGCTTTCACCTTGCGGGTCCGTCTGCGGTGAGCTCGCACACTCACCTTGATGACTCAGCGCTTCTCCACCACTGCCTTTCCCTCTTGTCGAAATCGCACAAGAGGGCTCTGAGGGGCAAGTCCTATCCCGCTAGCGCCACAAGAGGTCTAGCGCATCGCTTAACCCACAAACAGGCCCTTGGAATTTTCACGAGTCGCTTTTCGGTTTTGCAGCCTCCTCCGAAATTTCGACATCCCTCTCGATCAACCACCTTCAACGAACCCTCGGCAGGAAATTATCTGACCTTAAGCCGGTACGTCCTCCCCCTTCCTTTACCTTTTGGAGCATACCAATTCCTTTCCTTTCTCTTCTCCTTCTCATCTGCCATTGAGAAGGAAGCGAGTTACGCAAAGCTAACATTTGACCTCGTCGCCGCCGCAACAGCCAAAATGGGTGCCCTCAAGTATGTCGAAGAGCTCCAGAAGAAGAAGCAGTCCGACCTGGTCCGCTTCCTTCTGCGCGTGCGCTGCTGGGAAGTACGTTGCCACCACCACTCCGAATAGCTACAAAAGCAACCAACTCCCGAGACGAAATCATTACAAGAAGACGTTCTCTGTGGACGAGGGGGGAGGGCTTGGGGACTGTGAGATTGAGGTGTCGAGGCTGGTTTTCGGGAAAGAAGAAAAGCTCGAAGTCTTGGTGGTCAATTCTCTTCTTCACTCTGTGCTCTCTTCCTCTTTGTCGGGGCCTCTCCGTCTCTACGATGGATTGCGCGTGTGCAGATTTTTTTGGGAAACTGAAAATTTTGCACGATTGCTTCATTGCCGTCAACGTCGATGAAACGACAAAAAGAGCGAGACGAAGAGAAGGGGAAAACAAGACCGAGAGCTTTTCTTTCTCCCTTTCTTGCTGCCAACACATCTTCATTCCCCTGTCCATTTAATCCCCCTTTGTCTTTGCTATACACTCGTTGAACATATGCTGAGAGTGCATCAATATAGTACCGTCAACTGAACGTTATCCACCGCGCCTCCCGCCCTTCGCGCCCCGACAAGGCTCGCCGCCTCGGCTACAAGGCCAAGCAGGGCTACGTTATCTACCGCGTGCGTGTCCGCCGTGGTGGCCGCAAGCGCCCTGCCCCTAAGGGTGCCACCTATGGTACGATTTTCCCTCCCCCCATCTCTGTTACATACTCTTTGGGAACATCCTACTGACGAGACACCGCGATGAACAGGCAAGCCCACCAACCAGGGTATCAACCAGCTCAAGTACCAGCGCTCCCTCAAGGCCACCGCCGAGGAGCGTGTCGGCCGCCGCTGCGCCAACCTGCGCGTCCTCAACTCGTACTGGATCAACCAGGACTCCACCTACAAGTACTACGAGGTCATCCTTGTCGACCCCAGCCACAAGGCCATCCGCATCGACCCCCGCATCAACTGGATCGTCAACCCCGTCCACAAGCACCGCGAGGCCCGCGGCCTCACCGCCACCGGCAAGCGCTCCCGCGGCCTCAACAAGGGCCACCGCTACAACAAGACCACCGCCGGCCGCAGAAAGACCTGGAAGAGACACAACACCCTGTCCCTGTGGCGCTACAGGTAAGCGCGTTCCGCTGGGATGCGGATGCGCTGACGGCCGTTTTGTCGACACCGGAGGCGTTGCGCGGCGGCGTTCTCTCCTGGATGTATTTTCTCATGGGACTACTACTTCCCGGGGGGAATGGGGTCTTTACTTCTTCTTCTTCTTCTCTTTCTTCTTTCTCGACATCCTGCAGCATGTTGTTCCTCTTAATCTCCGGAATCAACATGTATGCAGAAGAAAAGAAGTCGGCACGATCAACATGAAGAACGAACAAAAGGACGGGAAGCTGGGGGAGTTGAAAAAAATGGGCCAAGGGTTACTTCTTTGGTAGTTCCTCTTTTTTTACACAAAATGGAAATGGCATGAACACTTTTTTTCCGATGATACACATCGGATTCGCGATGATGATATCATTTTTTCTCTTTTTTTCTTATGTAGAAAGCAATTGCGATTGTGAACTCTTTTAAGTGTTCATTTCTTCCGTGACTTTGCCTTCTTCGTCAGTCATATACCGAGCTGCTCATGTATCAGGTGTAATTCAGACGCAATAGCAGGAGACGGCATCATCATCGCCGCTGTCAATGTTCGCGGAGACGGATCGCAATAGAACAAGTGCTCATGGAAAGGATCGCATGGGCTATATGAACTCACACGCTGCAAAGGAGGTCCTGTTATCAAGACATCGGGAATCAGATGGAAAAACATCAAACCTAGAACCAGATCCAGCGTCAATCTAATATTAGAAAGAAAGAGCAAAAGAAGTCTCATCTAAGTACAAGTTCATAAAGGTTGAACCCATCCCCATATCCTCAAAGACCCCCCCCTGCCCGGGCGAACAAAAGCCCAAATCACAGACCGTCCAGACTAGAAAGCTGCTGTTCCACGTGCCTCACCCGAGAGAGTTCCATCCATGGCTCCCAAAGTTCCAGATGATAGTGTGTCTCCTCCCTCAGCATCTTACAAGAACCCGACCCGTAGCTGTTTTCGTCGGAAATGGAAAGAGAAAGGGAAAAGGGAACGCAGAAGAATCTCAAAGAGGCGTTAAGAGGAAACAGGGATACCCACTTCTACCCATTCGCAACATTGCCACTTGAATTCGCCCAAAGAACCCAGTCATTCTGCCCTGATCTCGGTGACTCTCCGTGGCCTCCATGAATCCATCTTGCGTTGCTGCCCTCCTCCAACAGATTGGCAAAATACAAATGGCATTGGAGACCTTGCGAGATTCCAAGTATGGCCTTCAGGATCCCAAGGTCTGTCTGCGAAGATGACTTGACTGTGGTGATGAAGGGTCATTCTTGAGCGTAGTGCTGTGTACCAGGGGGGAAAATAGAGAAAGAGTAAAGCACATCGAAAAACAAAAGAGGAATCGAAATTGAGAAAAGAAGAGTGAAGAATACATTGAACGCCGGCCAACGTAATGCTGGCGGCGATCCAAGTATAGGTACAGGCCATGACCGGCGCCTGAAGCTCGCCTAGATGGAGTCTCAGCTCACAACAGCTTCGAGCCCCGGTGTAGAGACATCTGAGACCCATCGCGAGGCACTCCTTTCCCACCCTTTTTTTTTGTGCTTTTCTTTTTTTTATAGCTTCGTTTTTGTTCGCATCATACACACAACGCAATCTCTCGCCAATGCTGTTGCTCAGACCATGAGCAGGCCAATCCTGGAGACGATATCGAGCTCAATCTCTAGGAAAAAGTGAAATAAAATGGAAATAGTGTAACCATCATCGCCGTGCCGCATGAAGTCGTATTCCATTGAATGGCCATGAAGAAAAATCGAGAATCGAGAAGGGAAGAAATAGGGGTGGATACAAGAGAGCAGACGCCAAACGGTCATAATACAAGCAATCCGTAGAAGTGCAAAGGAATTAGTAGGGGGGTCTCCAGCGTGCTTCACCGTCATCCATCTGATTGTACTGGGCAGCTTGAATGAGGCCACCCGAGCCAGAGGACGTAGAAGAGGGGGGCATCGGCATCGTGGTGCTGCCGGAGAAGGGAGGCAGCGCCTGCTGGCGTATGCCTTGGGCCCCGGCACCATGAGCCGGCCCATTAGCGCTGCCCACGCTCGTAGGGAGCACTTGGGGGAGCACTGGAGTGCCAGAGAGACCTCGGCTGTGACTCGGCCGCAGTGGAATTTGTCCCTGCGTGTTGTCGGCTGGTGTGGCTTGACCGCTCGAGGCGGCACTTCCACGATTGTCATAAGCGGCAATCTTGGCTTGGATCCGGCGTCCATAAGGCGTTGTGCGGATCTTGGGAAGGACGGGACGAATCGCCTCTACGAGGCGGTGCTTGAGCTGGGGAGTCGAGAAGTCAAGGGCCGTCTGGACAACGTAATTTGCGAACGAGTCTTGCAGGCATCCCTCAATGTCCCCGAGTAGCTCCGAGACAATCATGTCCTTCGAAGGGGGTTGAGCGCAGCGTAGGCATTTCTCAATCACGTTGGAGCTGAACTTGTGGCGAGAAAGCATGCTGATGCAGCCCTCAAACGAGGCGACGATGGGCTCAGTGAAGGTGGGCTCGTGGAGGTCAATGATGTACTGGACGACGTAGTTGCCAAAGGGGTCCTGCACGAGGATGCGAGCGTCCTTGGTGATGCACTGGATCAGCCAGAGCTTTTGATCGCCGGTGGCGTGATCGATGCAGCGCTGCAGCACACAGCAGCCGTGTCTGTGAGTGCCAACCTCGACACACTTCTCGCCAACTGCATCAAAGATGAACTGCGCGTCAGAAGCAGTAAGCTTGTTGAGGCACTTTTGGATGACGTGGTTGCCGTTGAGATCCTGGATGAGCTGAACAACTCGGTAGCGTAGGGCTTCGATGATGAGGTGGACTTGCTGAGGCGTGCTGACTGTCTCAATCATCTTCTGGAGGGCTCTTGTGCCGTGCTGGTTAAGCGCGATGCGCACCATGTCTTGAGACGCGTTCTGGATCAAGACAGTTCTTTCGTCGTCATTGCAGAGCTCGAGGAGCTTTTGGCACAAATAATTACCAAACGGATCCGTCATGAGCTCGATGACATGCTGATTGGTCTCGAGCCAAATCATGTGAACTTGATTCATGTGAACTTGATTCGTGTCAACTTGATTCGTGTGAACTTGATCACTACCGCGTTCCTCCAGCTTCTTCTGGAGATAGCGGCAGCCATATTGGTCTTTGCACAGCTCATAAATCTGGCCTCGGAAGGACTCCAGCGGCATGTTCTGATACCGAGACATGGCTACAAAGAGGGTGTTAGTATGATGAGCAGGAGGAGGGGGATGGAGTCATCGGTATTCTTGCACTCACCTTCGCTGTCCAGTTGTCGACGATGCTGAATAACCCGAGCCTGGCTATCGCGGTGCTGACCGCTCGGGGGAGAGTAAGGCACATTGCCATAAGGAGAGTAACTTTGAGGAGAGTATGCGTTTCCGTTACCAGCACCGTTTAAGCCCAGCTGCTGCATCCCAGCGGAGAGCGAATTAGCTCCATACGACGAAGCGGAAGTGACGCTCGAGGGCGTGTAGCGGTAGAAGGCATGCGAGCTCGCCGCCGAGGCTGAACTTCCTGGAGATGCCATGGGTGCAGCGGAGTGCGGCGTTGCAAGAGGAGCCGCAGTTGTCGTAGTTGGGCCAAAGGGAGCAGCGCTTGCCTGGAGGGCCGAGTTGATGGACGGATAGACAGCGGCCTGCTCACGGTTGGCATTGACGCCGTTGTCGTTGGACAGCTCGCGAACATGCCTGATTGGCATGACACCAGCAGGAATGCGACCGATGCTCGCATTATGGTTATGGAAGTGCTGCTGGGCATGGTTATTGGCAATGGCGTTCATCATCGAGGCACCTCCAGGGTTTTTGACCGTGGGGATGTCGTTGGCAGAATAGGAACTCTGGAGCTTAGGCGGCACGTGCATCGCCTGAGGAGCGCCAGACACCTCGCTCGCATGGTCTAGAGAATGGCGAAGAGTGGCTGCGCGTGCTCCAATATTGCCACCATCGCCCGTCTGGGTGGCGGATAGCCCGTTGATGGCCGACATGCTATGCTGCGTACGATGCCGATTCACACTGGTCCTCCAGTTGTGTGACGCTCGCGCCTCAGGATTCGGCGAAGGTGACAGAGCAAGATCTAGGGCTGCTGAAGACGCCGACAGCTAAAAGATAAACAGTAAGATTAGCAAGGTTGATACTTCACCGGCAAGAAGAGCCAGGCGGATATTACAGGTGCAGGTCAGAAGAACTGAGGGTGGATGTAGGATGCCAAGGAGGGCGGTGGTAGGGAAGAAAGAGGAAGAGGTGAGAAGGAAGAGAAGGAAGAGAAGTGAGAAGAAAGAAAACTGAAAGGAAGAACTGCACGCCAGTCTGTGCTAGCTAGGTGAAGCGAGGCGAAGGGGAGCACTGCCAGCTGCCAGCTGCCAAGCGGCTGTTGTCCAATCACGGCAGCCCTCAAGGCGGCCATGAGAAAGAAGGATAGAGGAGATGGGCCACGCAAGCCAAGAGGCAGCTCTTGTTTCGCATCCAACGCTTGGAGAATGACGAACGGAGCGAGAAGAGAAAAGGCGAGGCAAGGCTTACAATCTGATCGTCACGGCGGACAAGCGTGGGGAAGCTGTCGTCAGGTTGGTGTCCTCCAGATAGGTGACTCGTTTCGTCCTCGCCGAACAAAAAGCGTGCAGTGTTGGTCTGATCAATATTCAGATCGTAAAATCCGCTCCTTGTTCGGGTGACGGGCATGGAATATCTGTTTGTTCTTCTATTATCGTGGAATGGTCAGCACATGTGAGGAGATCTCGTGCTCAAGGCAAGACGATAGGGCGGAAAAGTTGTGGCAGTTCGGAAGGGGGGCCGTGGGAAGCGTGCGCGCAAGCAGCGTTGCGCGGCACTGGAGCTGTATCACGGGTATAGTGCCTGATGATGCACACGCAGCAGCAACATGTCCTGAGAGGATCTGCCCCGTGTCCGCGCGCCGTCATCTAGCAAGGCAGCCCGTGCAGGAGTCCTAGCTGCACCAACCTCCAACCCATATTGCCCCGGAATGAAGGAGTTACGTGCTTATCGCAGTTTGCGGAAATTGGAGGGATGGGCCACCGAGGGAGACTTCTTGTCTATCTACTTACGAGTTGGTCGACCTGTGGCTGCTTGGGTCTTGGCGAACAGCCTCTTCCTTGTCATCGTCGTCGCTGTTACGGCGCGTGGTAGGAACAGATCGTGATGGCATCTGATTGTCGTCGAATCCGAAACGCTGCTGGAACGCACCCGTGCCAGGAGGAGGAGGAGAGGTCAGAAGCGATCCAGAGCGAGATGGTCGGTTAGACAAGTCTGGAGGGGAGGTCAGACTCGAGGTCGAGTATCGGTTTGGCCGCGAGAAGATGCCAGGAAAGCCATTGTTGGTATTGGTGTTTCGGTACTCGGGAGGCGTCGTCGGCTCGGATTGGTGCCCGGCGAATCTGTTCACCTCTTCTTCCATCTGCGCCAGTTCGAGAGCCTCCCGTCGCTGTTGCTGGTCTAGTTTTTGCATCTCGACTTCGAATCGCCGCCTTTGTTCTCGGATCCTCTCATATTCTTGTTTCTTCTTCTCTATCTAGAGAGGAGAAAAAGCCAAGTTAGCCGAGCTCTCGATCTCATGTCTCCCAATTCCTGTCAAGCTTTTGACCGCGCTCAAACCTGACGACAGCGGCCGGGTACGGGAAGCTGTCGCGCTTGGAAGCCATCGAGTTCGGAGGCAAGGGGGGCCGCCTACCAATTGGACCTTGTGCAATGCCTGCGCCGGAGAGTCAGCCATTGTCGCACGTAAACGAGACAAAACAAAGCTGGGTCTACGCAGCGAGCAGCAGTGAACCGAGGGATCCCCGACCAGAATGCCGGCAACTCACATTATTATAGTCGGCGTCGACCACACGGGACGGGGACGCCAGGGAGTTGATCGAAGACAGTGTCTGCAGAAGCCCTGAGTCTGTCGTGAAGCGGCGAGGCAAGGAGGAGCGCATATCATGATTCGCAGGCTGTTGCTGAGGGATGAGAGCGGCGCCGCGAGGAGGTGAGACAAGCGGGTTGATGGATGGCTCGTTCCTCGGCGGCTGCTGAGGGCGGAAGCGCATGTCCTCCATGGTTGGGGATTCGGGGAACGAGGGACGAACAGGATTCGTACAAGCCGAATTGGATGCGCTCGGGACGGGTCCTGTTATATCACTGCAGACATGAAGCAGACGGACAAATGTCAGCACAGCTTGTCGTTGTGGACGACGAGGTTAGGGCCAGGCACAAGCCGGCGACGTTGGAGGAGGCGGGGTGGGATAGGTCAAGGGATTGGACAGTTGACGAGACAAGATGCTCGGTGTTGCAGCCAGGACAAGGATGAGCCGGTGGATGCCCAGATGGCCTGGGCTGGACTGGGGCCAGCGCGCCGGGCAGGGGTCTGGTCTGGCGTGCGTCCAGCGTCCAGCGTCCAGCGTCCAGCGTCCAGCGTCTGGTTCCCACACGTCGTGCTGCAGGGCGATCAGAGACTCGCAGAGGCAAAGTCGTCATCGCTCGGCTGCCAGCTCAGCATCGCGACGCCGCTGCTGTTGGTTCAGCCCCGGGTTTGGCGCTGCTGAGAGTGATGCGAAGCGAGGTGAGGCGAGGCCAGAGCCGGAGAGCGGGAGGTCAGGACCAGAGCCAAAATCCGGGAGCCAAAGCTTACAGCCAAAGCCACAAGCTAGACGCAGCGCTCAACGCCGGTGCCAAGGGCAGGGAGGCGTCCATGGCCAATGTCACTGCCTGGCCAGCGTTTGCTCGTGCTGAATGGCTGGCTGGCAGAACGTGCTCGTGCTCATGCTCGTGCTCCTCCTCCTCACCCGCATTCCGACGATGGTGTCCCGGTTGTACGACGAACCAAGGATTCAATGTCGGCCGCCCTCCATCGAGCCAAGAGGGCATGGAGACCAGCAAAGCAGCCAGCGGCGCCAGAAGGCCGCTGGAACCTTGTGTTCTCACATCGACACGCTGGGACCGAAATTGTCCTCTGCGGGATAAGGAACGGGGATAAGGATTGAGTGGAAGGATGGGGTTGGTAAACGTGACGTCTTGTGCCCGCAGCCTTGAACAAGCATCATCGACAGAGATGAAAAATCAAAATCCGAAAAGACAACCGGCGAAACGAGATTGAGCGCAAGAAGACACGTATTGGCTGGCACACGTACCTCTATCTGCAATGGGCAAAAGTCTTGATAGAACAATGAAAGACGGTACAAGCGACGGAAATTATCCGTACACGATGACTGAGGCCGAGAAGTCTTTCGCTGGGCAGGGGGCCGTTGCGCGCAAGACGTCTCAGGACGCTGGCTCCCGAGAAAGGAAGCCAAAGTAAGAAAAGAAAGACTGGACGGAACCCGGAGGAGCAAGAGAGGTGGTTAAGGGTACAAGGCGACAAATCCCAAAGCTCGTGAGATGCAATTATCTCAGGTCTTCCTTCAACAAGATATAAATACAGGGGTTACAGTGGCGGAGAAAGAGGAAGAGAGTCGGGCAGTTGGTGAGGGAAGAGGGAGGCCTGCCTGAAGCATTCTAAGTAGAGTTTTGGGGAGGCCTGATGAAACATCCAGAGCGGCGTTACTCCGTAGGTTTTCTAGAGTCCAGTTTAGGCAAGTGGCGGAGGGCACAAATGCGATCAATGGACAGCAGGTACGAAGTACAGAACCTGAACCTGGAACTCTCATAGCGGTTGGGAGGCTGCTGAGGCACTGCCCTGGGCCCTGAACCGCCCGGTCGTTAGTGGTCAGGGGCAGGCGTCTAGCGACTTTGACGGCTGGAGGCGGATAAGCGGCGGACAGAAGTCGAGAGGCGTTTGGGCGGGCGCCTTGTTCTGGATATGGCGGCTCAAAGTGCGAGGGGAAGGGCTCGGCGGTTCAGGTGTCCGGGCTACCTTATTAGGTATGATGCTAGGACGAACTTTCAACAAGCCAATTCCCAAAGACGCCGATGAAGGAATCTCCGCTGCTTGCCTCCTTGCAGTTGGAATCGACAGATGAGGTTGTACGAAGCCGACCAGCAGCAACTCACTCGCGCAGAGAACGGAGTACGTGTACTCCGTATGGCTGTGCGACTTTGCCACTTGACATCGGCTCGCCTCCAGAGTCAAATCGCCAAGTTTTTGCTGGCCTCAGGGGAACCCCGGAGCCCAACCAGCCATGAAGATAGCGTACATAGTTTGAAGCGCACGTCTTGCTTGCTTCCTAGTGGTTTCTCGCTTCGATTTGGCCGAGTCGAGAGCTTCTGTGATGGTGTTAGCGCAAGCCCTGTCCAGAACGGGGGAATGACTCGGAATGACTTGTCGTCACTTTCATGGTTGGATTCCATCACCCACCCCCGATACTGTACTTGCAGCCCAAGTATATCTTGCGCCATATTGTGATAGAGTAGTACCTCCTGCGGGTGTACGAGTATGCTGGACCGCCCCCTGGGCGACAGGCGAGGCAAACAGCGCCGTGTCCAATGGCCCGCAGCCGTTGAGCGTGTACGGACATGTATTATGTAGCATGCATGTTGGAAGCTGTGGCAGCTGTATGCCATCTGCACGAGTGAGTTGTTTGCACTTCAAGTGCGTCTTTGTTGCATGCTGATGCAGCTGTGGGCGCATTGTCAGAACTGATACGCTGCTGCTGAGCGTGCATGTAAACACACCCTCTGGCTGGATCGAGCATCACGGCGATTGGCCAATTCGGAGCATCACGGCGGATTGTGTCGATGTTCCGGTACTTGGCTGCCTTATGAGGCGCGGTACGGCACAGGCAGGGTACCTAGGTAGGTAGTGAAGCATATGTAGGCGATATGGATACGGATAGGCCTGCAGATGCTCTCAGCTTGTCATGGATCGAGGAGCAGCATTCAGGCCCAAGTCGAGCATTTTGGGCTTCTCGTTAGTACAGCATCGGTACCAGACGGATGCATCCTCGCTCCCTGTTGTTGTGCCTTTGGGTGCGCAACCTGCAACGCCACGCCGGCAGCCTTCTGCGCTCGAGGAACGCTGTAATTGGACGTCCAAGATGCTGCTCGCATGCATGGCGCGAGGTAATTACAAACCTCATCACATCCGACTGTGCAGATAGTGCCACTGCAGAGCCCAGTAGCATAGCCGGAGCTGCGACAAGACTGGAGGTGATGTTTTCACGTCTGCTTCGTAAACGCAGGTCAGCATCCGACAGAGCTGCGACCACGCCCTGGGGCATCTACAGGCTGCAGTGCTTCGTACAGCTGGGATCCCCCGCTTGCCCGCTGTGGCTGAATGCATTGATTGTAGGGTCTTTGCTCCATGCTGTAGGTATATAGAATCTACTCTGGGCAGAAGAGTGACAGAGTGCAAAGTCGAGAGCCCGCGTGTCCTGGGTGAGATGGGACCTGCGGAATCTTATTAGTATCTCGTCTGCGGATACGACGAGCCAGTCAGTCAATTCGCCTTTGCACACCTCGATCCACCTCCGGTCAAGCCCCCGTGAGTACCGGTGAGGATTCACATATGCCGTGATTTCGTCTTGTTGCTCGGCGATTCGCTTGCTGTCCCAGAATCGCCTGTGATAAGTGACGGTTTCTGAGGTCGACCGCCGAGCGTTGGGTCATTCTTACTAAAGCACCTTCCATATTCTGAAGAGGCTCTGTAGGTTTCATGAACCGAGATACCTTCAGCTCATCAGAAACAGCGGCCATGGTAGCTTCCATTTCCGATGTCAAGATAGGTACATGCACCGAGGTGGTACAATGGCAGGAGCAATCTGGCATTGATGAGATATGACGATAGATGTTCAAGCCTCAGGCACGACTGCAATTTATCATCACCACCTGCTACCCAGGCTGGTATCTACCTATTTCGTGCTCTCTGGTTGAGACGGCATATTGGTCTCTTTGACCCATCATACCTATCGTATGCCACTTGTGCGACTTGCTCCAGAATCCCAACCCATGCAAAAGCCAACAGGCTGTTCGTCACTGCGGGCGACAAAAACCGGAGACGCCTCAACCCGTATTACAGGTAATACTCACGCTCACGCCCGCAAGCTTAGAACATGAGACGCCCCGATCTCGCGATCCATCCATCGGCCGACTGACGCGCTTCAGCATCGCACAGCAGCGGCTGCCTGCCAGAATCAGAAACCTCGACTCTATCTGGACGTTAACGTTCCACGAGCGGCTGAGGCGGGAAGCCCCGATCGCTTCAAACCCAAGCGCCTCTTCCGGCGGTCTTGATATGCGAACGCCAGGTCCGAATACAGGCCCCGACTCGGCTCTTCACTTGGCCACACGATTGACTCTGCTCCGCGCTAAAACATGAAGGAACGAGGGGCACTCTGGGGTCCCTGGTCTGGATCTTCCTGATGACTCGACGACCCTGGAGTGTTTGCTCGCTAGCCGGTTCCTTCAAGCACGTCGTCTCAGGCTCGAGGTATACCATCTACAGTATGGATTCGAGACAGACACGTGCGCGCATCTGGCCGTTGTTGAGCTCGTCCCAGCTCTTTGCAGCTCTGCCGCATGTCTCTGGAGGCGCAGAATTTCCTCGGCTGTTCATTTCAGTATCGGCTTCCCGGTGCGAGGCAGAACTGCCCCTTACGGGGACTGGAGCGCACGAATCTTAGCCCTGTGTCTTGACAGAGCCGTTCCGTGACAGCAGTGGACTATGCACGTACGTATGTGATGCATAGACTAACTAGGTTCGCCCATTATTCATGCGCAGTAGATGGCGCTTCTACTGCCAGCAGTGCCCTGCGCAATGCAGTGCTACAATGAGCAAACAACTCCGTACACCTGCTCGCACAACAAGACAGCCATCCCTCTGGCCAGAGAATCTACACGGGCATGAAGACAGCAACGCCGACTTTCTAGGTCTCTGCGCTCCCTCGAGGCCAGGTTTCCATTACAGAGTCTGCACTCCCTTTGAAACCGCAGACGAACGCGAGTTGCGAGAGGCTTTTGGTCAGAAGTGCGGGGTCGCAAGAGGAGCGGTTCAACCTCGACTTGTCGCCTCGCCTTTCGTTGGCCGAGATTGCCGCTTTTCTGCCTCTTCGACCCGTAGGCAGCTGTTCTCGAAGGCATTCCGTCATGAGAAGTGAGAGCTGAGCGGGCTAGGCTGGATTGAACCTAGAGATGGATCTACCAGCATCCTGCTTAGCCTTGGATGCGGTTCAATTAAGCACTACGGATCGACTGCTGTTCAAAAGGAGGGGTCCAGGTGCTGTGCTGTAGTACTAGTAGCTTGGAGCTGAGATGCTCGTTGTATCTTACCTCAACATTTCAACTCTTCAACTTCTGCAGTACAAGGGTTGATGGCAAGGCAAGTAGTTGTCTCCTTGCTATCCTCAACTCTTCTTACTGCCCCAGCTATCTTGCCAGTTACCGGAGCGAGCCACAGGCTCTAATCCTGGTTCAGGCGAGTTGATCCATATGTGATTGGTGCAATGATGAGCTCGGGTTGGTGGTGTGGAACTGGTCTGGCATATCTGCCAATATATTAATTTGAGGCCACAATGCCCAACCAGCACTGGAAGACGAGCTCGTCCTGTCGTCCCCATATACATGTATAGGTGAAAGTCTCCGTTTACATGACCCAAGAATAGATGCATCAGATATCCTACGTACCTAAAGCAACTGCTGCTGGTATATAAATTCTCAACCATGTGTTCACTGGAGACGTGTACGTGCTGTCGTACAATTTTTCCTCGTTCAAGGCAAGGGAGGCATAACCTTTGTATATTGATCATCATCACTTGAAGAGCCCACGACAATATGTACCTTAATTCCCATTGCTTGAAGACGTCAGGTGCTGTCGAGGGCTTATCGAGTGCTCAATCATCCCATCTCCAGAACAATTGAGTGACGGTTCAAGCCCAGCGATATGACAGGAGACTGGGGCGAACCTTGAGACCTGAGTCTAACAAGATTTGTGCCCAACCGCTGGACAAAGTAGGTACATCGAACGCCACATATTCAGGTACCTATAGAAGTAATCCCGTCTGAGGTGTTGGACATACATCCCCCCTTCAGCACCTACAAGCTGCATACATGTAGCATCACCGGAAGATCCCCGATGTAACACTACAATGTGGTGGGAAAGGGGGGAGGGATATAAGGCGGTTAAACACAGGTGATCAATATGGATATATATATTCTAATGGGATGTATGGCGCTCTTAGGCAGAAACGAATTGACTTCTGTGTTGCGGTTGTCCTGGGATATTATTCGGTGTTTGAGGCTCTGTTTGTCGGCTTAGAGCTTGGATGTGTGAGCTAAGGGGTCGATGAGAGGCCTGTCCGTACGTTCTTGGCGGCTCGAAATAGCAGCGAGTGAGTTCGTTTTTAGAATGTGAAAGGAATTTGGGGCTATATGTCTTGATACAGCATCAGGATTGTGTTGCTAGAACAGTGAATAGCTGCCTTAACACTAATTTTTGTATTCAACCATCCCCTGAATGTTCTTCAACCACCTCAGACTGTCATGGCCCATCTTGTGACCAGCCTTGTATAAGCCTCTTTTGCAAGAAGAACAGTCTTCTACACCGTCGAACCACTCAATACGTCAGTTGTTAAGTGCGCCATAAGCCTCGTCTTAGTCCTCCTTTGCTGAAATCAAGATGAACCATTCGCAACGTCAACGTGCGCCGCCTTCACGATCAAACGCACGAATCCCACCCTTCTTGAAGAAACTCCAGTTCATAATACAGCTCTATCCGCACTTGTCATTATGTCAGTCGTCAGTGACTTGACGTTGTCTGGTATCTAGTTGGCGTCTCTGCTAGCTGACGAAACGGGACACTTGATACAAATAATTGTGATACATAAAGAAGGAAATTGGCGAGCCTGGTAACTTTCTGGGTGAAACTCTGGACTTTGAGGCAGGGACACCAACGGAGAATTAAGGTGCCTGTCATTAAGTCTTCAATAGGGAGTCTCTACACCAGGGCATGAAGTTGGATAGCGCTTACAGACAAGATACACATCAAGCCACTAATACAATCCCATGTGAGAATCTCCTTTCTCCAATCACGTAGTGGATGGAAACGAAGCCAAGCCCGCTACGCGCTTCGGGACGAGGCACCGTTGTCAGGGGCAAAGTGGACAGGATGTTGACGACTGTGGATAGTGGTGGTTATTGGATGGGAAGCATGGATAAGCGACATGAGAGAGCGCATTATGAAACAACAAGGCAGGCAGATGTTTATATGTCACATCTAACATGACACATAAGTCAGACGCCATCAGCCAGTTTCCAGCGTTGACTCCGTCAGATGTAGACTTTGATCCATGCTTCACTTGTTCAGGACATAAATGGGATAACGGCAATTACCAGCAACTTCAGAACAATATTAGAATATCATCGATCTACAAATATATGATACATACAACCCAACCTCAACCGAACCTCCCAGTAATACATACAATCACCAGTTTTTCTTTGTCAACCCCATCAACTCGAGAGATACTCTCTCAACCAGCCTGATACACAGCCAGGGCCGCAACATGCGGGTTAAGCATGGTCAGATTGTATGGCGTAACAGTAAGGTTGGTATCCGTAAGCGCAAGGAACATGGTGCCATTGATGGCCGGATCGTTATCCCAAGTCGACGCATTAGGCTGGAAGGTGTAGGCCGTGTTATCCCGTGTGCTCACGTTAAGGAGCGGAGAGTAGGTGACGTTGAGCTGCGACACCCAAGCGGCAAATCTAGGCTCTCTGACCGTCGTCGAAGTCACGTAGCTGTTGTTGGGTCCGACCAACTGTCCAGGACTATCCCACTTCAAGAAGACCTGACGGCCTGGGTACGAGAGGGGGATGCTGCGGTTCTGAGAAATAGCCGGCGCGCAGTCCAAAGTCTTGTTCCTGGCGTGCAAGCAGAGCTCAGAGCGGGAAATGTTCTGAGTTGACAGGGTGTTAGCCCAGCCGCCAGTCGTCTCGTTCCAGGCATCAGAGCCATTGATGCGAGCCGGGTTCGGCTGGTTAATGATATGCAGCGCAGGGAAGTTTTGCCACACCAGTCGAGTCTGGTTAGACGGGCAGCTTGAAATGTACGGTGCCAGGAGACTCCATGCCCAGCTCTGAGGGATTCCCACGGTGTGCCACTCCGGCATGGGGAATTGCCCGCCAAATTGGCGGAAGATGAGCTGCTGACGAGCCTCGACTGTGATGCTCTGGAGTAGCAACTGAGCAGCCGGTCCCGAGTTCAGATGCGGCAGGAAGCCATAGACACCGGCCTCTCCCCAGCGTGTAAGCTTCTGGTTGAAGTCGATGAATTCTCGGACGTTGGACACCGGGTAGTTGTAGGTGCACTGCTTCGGCGCCTGGGGGCCAAGCATGTTGGAGATGACCGTGGCATGCCCAATTTCTTGATCGGCCATGTACTCGATGAGGAACCTCTCCTCGGCATTGATGCCGTTAGCCTCCCATTCCTCAACAGTGAAGTTCTGCAGACCCCAATGGAAGAGGTCAAGCTCGATCCATTCCTGGTAGAGAGCCAAAGCTAGCGATTGGTAGTCGAAGTCGCTTTGGACGCGGTACACCGGAGCCGAACCGTTGGTTCCAATACCGCCGCTGGGAGTGAACGGTGCAGGCTGGGGAGCATGGAGTTTGCCATCAGCTGTGTAGTTGAACGAATTTGGCGCCGGAGGCAAAGCCGGGATCGAGGAGGCTGTAACGGTAGTCGAAAGGGCTCCCGTGGTCGTGGCGGGCGGTCCTGTAAAGGGGCCATGGGAAGTGACATTGGTCTGAGGCACCACTGCTGGAGTCACTGTCTCGGCTTCGGAAAAGGTAGTCGTCGGCGTGTATAACCTCGGAACTGCCTGGACGAGCAGCACGTTGGAGAGGGCGAGAAGCCCTGCGTTTTGCAGCCGCATATTGCCGATCATGATGCCTTCACTCAATAGGGCACGACTGAAAGGACTTGTTGAGACTTCATGCCAGAAAGAGGGAGAAATGTAAGCAGACAACGGGTATGCCTCCCCTTATAATGACCCTCAGCCTGTGGACTCTTCTCCCATCCACCTTTCTGAACATGCCGAAACACCCGCTGCCATATCCCAGCTCACCAATGTAAAAACGCGGCAGTGCCCATCATTCACACCACGTCCATAGCAGCTCACAACATGACGCGTCCACAGCTGAATGCCGGAGCAGAAATCCGAAGTGACGGCGCCATTACAGCATGGCAAAGAATGGCGTCGTCATCGGAATTCGTAGTATGGAGATGCCTCTGGCGTGTCGAGATGTGGCGCAGATGCAAAGTTTATCTCGCGGCAATGTCATGATCCCTGTGTGCCACTACCCTCTGCTGTAGCACGGGAAGTATGTCTTTACCTGACCCTTCTTCCAAGGCGGGAAGAGAGAGAAAAAGTGTTTGAGCTAAAGTATGAGCTGTCGTCATGGTCCGGGCCGTCTGCCGTGGAACGTCGATGTATCTGTCTCACCGGTTAGCGGTGAACTGACTATGAAGATCTATGATCCCTATACTTGGACTGGCTGGGTAAGACATGGTGAGTGGTGATTGCATTTTGACATGGCTGCGGATTCCCATAGCCAGTCATAGTTCTCTCATCATTCTGGGCAAGGCGGACGCATGGCAAGGCGATTTGCCTTTGTCGCGCACAAGGAGTTGGAGATGACGAAGTGGTGATGTTTTGGTGACAGGTCTGACTGTATATGGTGGATCAAGAGACTACAGCACATGGCAAGTTTTTCATCTCCCTGTGACTAAGCAGGTTCGACTCATGAAGAATCTTGATCAAGAGCTGTATTCCGAATGAAAAACAAAGTATTGTATCAATTATATCTCGAATGAGATTGTAGTCGCACATGATGGGCATGCACTGCGTGCTACTTCAGCCACGAGCGAGCGGTATCTCGCACCTCAAACTCAGTGCCCAGCATCCTCGATTGATATGTATGAGCAAGGTAGGCTTTTATTGTTACCATGGATGTGATGCTTTCTGCAAGACTAGAATCTCGCTATAGTATTCGAGGGGGGTAACTCTCGAGTCTGCTGTGAACTTGAACAAGACTGAAGATGCACATTCGTCTTATCACTAAGATGATTTTCATTTCCTCATCGAGCTCTATCCAGCATGGTCATTGTCCATCTAAATTTTGCTCCTAGATTTTTCTCCGTGTCCTCTTCCACTACTCTACCATGTCTCTACCATTTGATCTGAACCACGTCTTTTTTCCGTGGTGGACTTGCTAAGCACGATACTTTTCGTATATCTAGGAAGCGACGAGTCAGCACCTCATATTGGCTATCCAGCGTCCTAGCGAAACAATCTATCTACCTCTACCACGTCTAGTACTACCAATAGGCAGACAGGTACAGGTAGGTAGATGGAGTGATTGCTACTGTTTTTTTTCTTCCTATCACAGTAGGTATGTATCTAGTCTAATCAAGCTTCTCTATGCACCTACTGATAGATCAAATATCTGCTACTATCGCAACATATGTCTAGTCTTATACATGCGCTGTCTTTCTATCATAACAACTTATCTCAGTAGGTATAGTAAGGTAAGCCTTTGTCTCTATATTGATACATCTGGGATACCGGATGGGGAAGTTGGAGTGCCGGCCAGCCGCTTCCTATAATTATCTGAAATAGAGCTGACCATGCAGCATTTGAAGTTGCACGGCGATTGGTGCAAACGCGACGCCATCCAACATGCTTCAATGGATTGTCACTGGTCAAAACGACACCGAATGCCTGTCACTTCAGCCGATGGCAATTGGGCATCCTTGTAGCTGCCTAATGTTTCGTGTCCTCAACTTCTACAGCAAGAGCACAGAGCGATCCCTCGCCTCGTGGTCAGGTTTGATATCCGCATCAACAACAGGCTCTTCCTTGCTGCCATGTCGTTCAAAGAGCGCCTCCGCCGCTGGTTCAGGAGGTTGATCCCCCAAAAGGGCCAAATATCTGTACAACAAAAGCTGGAGAAGCAGGATGGCCAGAACGAGCCAGCAAGCACGCCCACCCCGCCCGTCAAGGCATCAATCGCATCCAGTGCCCCGACGGACCTGACCGAGAGCCTCTGGGATCAAGCATACGACGAGTTGAAGAACAGCAATGCTGCGCTGGTTGAAGCATACGAGAAGATCTTGTCTCGCAAACTCAACGGCCAAGGGTTCGCTACGCCTGTTACTGCAGCCGACGGGAACATCATTGCACAAGATAATCCTCAGAAAAGGCGAGGTCAGATGCTGCAGCTCATCCAAGCCGGTTTGGACAAGACGGCTGGAGAGGCAAAGATCAAACAAGCCATTGGCTCAGTTCTCTCTGCAAAGGACATAATCAGCGATGCCATCCAGGCTGTGCCACAAGCAGCCCTTGCTTGGACGGGTCTATGCGTCGCGCTCGAGGTAAGTTTCGAAATTGAACAGACTGAGGATATCCATGCTGACTTGTGTCAAAGGTGGTTCAAAATCCCATAGCTGCAACGGAAGCGAACCGCCGTGGCATCGAGATTGTGCTCAAGAACGTGGACTGGTATTCGGAATTATCCAGCGTTGTGCTAGAGAAGAACGACAACGAGCGTGGCCTGTCTGGCATCCGACAGGAATTGAAGATTCAGGTCGTCAAGCTCTACGTCCTTCTGCTCTCATATCAGATTAGGAGCGTCTGCTCATATTACCGCGACCGTGTTCTTGAGCTCCTTCGCGATATTGCCAGTCTCGATGATTGGAAAGCCGATATCAAAGCTATCGAAGAAGCCGAGCTTGGCGTACGTCATAAGATAAAAACATACGCCGAATTAAAGACGGCTTCGGATCTCGATAAGCTTGTCAATCATGCATCGACAAAGGAGGATAAACAATGCATCCAAGACCTACGCATCACTGATCCTTTGGATGACAAGAGACGCATAGAACAGACCAAGGGTGGTCTTTCACGGGAGCTTTACTGCTGGATCCTTGAGAATCCGGAATACCAACAGTGGAGGGACTCTGATGAGAATCGGCTCCTCTGGATCAAAGGTGATCCGGGCAAAGGGAAGACTATGCTCCTCTGCGGCATCATTGACGAACTAAATCAACAACCAAGCCGCTCGGGCCTTGTCTCCTATTTCTTTTGCCAGGCTACTGACCAGAATCTCAACAACGCTACTGCCGTTCTACGTGGACTCATCTTTATGCTTGTCAGGCAGCAACCATCGCTTGTCTCTCATGTTCGGAGAAGGTACGATCAAGCGGGTGGAAAGCTGTTTGAGGGAGCAAACACCTGGTTCGCCCTCTCGGACATTTTCACAACAATGCTCCAGGATCCCGCGCTGAAGGGCGCATACTTGGTCGTCGACGCTCTTGATGAGTGTGTGTCTGATCAGCAGCAGCTACTGGACCTTATCATACTCGCCTCTGGCACAGAAGCTCGCGTGAAGTGGATCATGTCCAGCCGAAACGAGTTTCGCATAGAGGAGCGCCTGAAGCATGCTGAGCAAAAGGTCGAACTCAGCCTAGAGGTAGAGCTCAATGCACAGTCGATCGCCACCGCTGTCAAACTCTATATCGAAGACAAGTTGCAAAAACTATCAGACGCGAAGGGCTATAACGAAGTGACTCAAGAGCGAGTTCGAAACTACCTCCTTAAGAATGCAAACAATACGTTTCTCTGGGTAGCTTTGGTCTGTCAGAACCTTGAAAAGCACGCGCTATTGGAAGCTTGTGATATGCTCGAGGCGTTTCCAAAGGGCCTAGAGTCCCTTTATGGAAGGATAACGCAGCAGGTTCTCAAGAAAGATGGACGATATGCCAACCTCTGCAAACAGATTCTCATGGTCATGATGAGTGTTTATCGCCCCATCACATTGCGAGAACTGGGTTCTATGGCCGAAATCAACCAAGAGTTTTCGGATGATGTAGGCTATCTAACGGACGCTGTCGCACTCTGCGGATCATTCCTCACTATCCGTGAGGATACCATCTACTTTGTCCATCAGTCCGCTAAAGATTATCTCTCCAAGAACGAAGGCGCCATCTTCGAATCCCGCCTTAAGGACATACATCAAACCATGGTTTCCCTTTCGCTACAGGCCATGACCAAGATTCTACGAAAGAACATTTATGCACTCCCATGGACTGGACTCCTCTCTGACGACGGCATTGACATGCCAAGTCCTGATCCCCTATCTGCCATTCGATATTCCTGTGTACACTGGGTTGACCACCTTTGTAAGGGGTCCACGGTAGAGGCCTATCTCGAGGATAAAGGGCCTGTCGATGTATTCCTCCGTGAACATTTGCTTCATTGGCTGGAGGCGTTGGGCCTTTTGCACCAAGTGTCGGCTGGTATCCTCTCGATCGTAGCGCTGAAGGACTTGGTTGCTGTAAGTCTACCCATGTTTGAGTGTCCAACCAAAAATAAAGCTAACCATCCAAGGCAAAATTACCGGGAGGAGAGCTTTCGAAATTCCTCAGATGCACATCGGTTTGTCCTTTACAATCGAAGGCCTATCGAGATCGCCCCGCTTCAAGTGTATTCATCTGCGCTCGTCTGCAGTCCTACGCAAAGCCTCGTGCGGAAAACTTTCCATCGAGAGATACCATCGTGGATTCAAAATAGACCTGCGGTCGAGGATAATTGGAGCCCTTGTTTACAGACACTAGAAGGCCATGCCAGTACCGTTGAATCAGTGGCTTTCTCAACAGACCTCATGCAGATCGCCTCAGGATCCGGTGACCGCACAATCAAAGTCTGGGACATCACCACAGGTGCATGCATCCAAACGCTCGAGGGACATACCCATACAGTGTGCGCCGTGGCTTTCACAGCAGACAGCCGACGAATCGTGTCGGGGTCCGATGACAAAACCATTAAGATATGGGATCTGGCAACCGGCGCGTGCCATCGGACACTTCGCGGCCACACAGACGGAGTTCAGAATATAGCTTTATTAGAAAACGATCAGATTGCTTCTACATCACAAGACGCGACTATTAAGATCTGGGACATGGAGACAGGCTCATGCTTGCAGACACTTAAGGGTCATACTGACTGGGTGACCTCGGTTGCACCGTTGGCTGGTGGCCTAGTCGCGTCAGGAGGACGAGATCGCACAATCAAGATATGGGATGTAGCTACGGGCTATTGTCATGAGACGCTCGAGGGCCACACTGGCTCAGTGACTTCACTTGTCACGTTGGCAAATGGCCAGCTCATCTCAGGGTCAGGGGACAAAACAGTAAGGCTCTGGGATATCGCAACAAGGACGTGCATTCGGGTATTCGAAGGGCATCATTACAGCGTGAATACAACAGCTATCATGGCAAATGGTCAACTTGCCTCAGCCTCATATGACGACACAATCAAAATCTGGGACATGGCGACAGGCACATGTATCCGAACCCTTGCGGGCTACCATGGCTCGATTAACTCGGTGGTCTCGTTGTCAAACGGTCAGATCGCTTCAGGATCCCAAGATGGCAAAGTAAAGCTCTGGGATACCACCATGAGCGCCAGTGTTGAAAGCATGAATCAGCATCAAGGTCAGATTGAGTCAATCATTTTCTCATCAGACGGCCGGCAGGTTGCCACAGGGGCAACAGACGGCAAAATCAAGATATGGGACGCAGATACAGGCGCATGCATCCAGACGCTGGTGGGGCATACCGACTATGTGCTATTTGTCAAATTCTTGACTGATGGCCGGCTTGTCTCAGGATCGGAGGACAAGAGAGTCAAACTCTGGGATGTGGAGACGGGCGCGTGTGTCCGGACGTTTGAGGGCCATAGCGACTGGATTTACTCAGTAGCCGCCTCAGCAGACGGTCGGCGAATCGCCTCGGGATCATACGACAAGACAGTCAGGATCTGGGACACGGCTACTGGTCAGTGTGCCCGTACACTTGATGGACATCGTGATTGGGTGCGCGCGGTGGCCCTCTCTAGGGATGGTCAGTTGGTGGCCTCGGGATCCTTCGGTGGTCGCATCATGATCTACAACGAAGCCTCGCACTCACATCGCACACTTGGGGACCACGGCCGTGATATCGCCTCAGTGGCCATCTCACCAGATGGCCTATACGCCCTGTCGGGAGCTGATAATAACACGATCAAGGTCTGGCATATAGCTACGGGAAAGTGCGTCCACAAATCTGATGTTCATGCCGAATGGGGGGCTCAACTATCGTTCGATCCAACGATGAATTATCGCATCTGCAGCAACTTGGGTGGCTACATTGATCTGGATCCGCCATCCCTTGAGGCTAAAAGTGAGGATGGAAGTGAACAGGTCCAGAGCTCAAGGCCGCCTACTCCCCCATTATCCTCTGTCATGTTCCGTGGCTACGGTATAGAAAGGCGAGACGGGCGAGAAGAGTGGATCAGGAAGGACGGGAAGCCGCTGTTTTGGCTGCCGCCAGAATATCGATCTTGGTACTCCGCTGTGTCGGGATCTACTGTCGCAGTCGTTGTTGGCAGGACTCGTGTCGCCTTCTTCAAGTTTTCAGAGGCCGGGCCAGAATCATAGCTGCCTCGTCTATATTTCTTTTGGACCAGATTGTCATGCTTTACTTATGGAAACTGTTTATATCCTTGAAATTCTCAATGTTGAAATTCGTTTCATTTTATCACAACAGACGCCCATCAAGATATAGTGATATAAAGTGACTGTCAATTATCGTTCAAAGCTACATACAGGTATCAAACAGCGGCTCTCATGTCGAATCGTGACTTATCCATCGCGCTAAACAATAATAAGCAGTAGAAGAAGAAGAAGAAGACAAAGTACCAAGCAAAAGCAGGCATAAAAACCAAACAAAAGGGGGAACAAAAAAACAAAAAAAACAAGTGCCTCCAAGCCAGCCAATCCGATCAAAATCACAGCCCTCCCTCAAAAGCAGCACCCATCGTCATCATCTCAATCGTCATCCCCGTTCATCGCACAACCACAGCAGCATGAGGCTCATCGTCGCCATCAATGCTCTCCTCGTACTCACTTCCAGAACCCTCCTCATCATCCTCATACGCAGAACTGCCCTTGCTAATGCGCCGTCTCTGCGTGCCATCGCTCTCCTCGTGTCTTTCCCGAGCATCAACGTCATCGTGGTCATCCTCATCAATCTCCTCCTCATACTCGGAAGAACTATCGCCTGCCGCGTTATCGACCGCAGACTCGTGCGTCACATTGACCATGTCGCCCTCGTCGAGCTCCTCCACCGCCTCATCCATCTCCTTGTGCTCCTCGCTCAGCCCGCTCTTCTGCGCCGTGCCTCCCCAGCTGCGCTTCCGATGGCCGTTGATACTAACACTCGGTGTCTTCACGCTATGGCTTCTCGTGATGGGTGTCGACGCCACATTGTTCGCCATCTGACTGAGCGACGCAATACGTCGCGCAGTTCCAATCTGTCCAGGCGCCATGGGATTCCTTGCCGCGGCGAGATGCTTCGGGATGCCTCGTGGGGACGAAGAGCCGTCTTCGCCAGCAGGTTTCTTAACCCGCTTGCGGTTCATGGAATCTGCGCCGCCCTTGGCCTTTTTGCCAAAAAGGAGCACCCGAGAGTGATCCATGACCCCATTGAAGATGCGTCGTTCAAGGCCTTCAGCGCGGAGCTCCATCTCCTGAAGCTCCTCCTTGCGCAGGCGCAGCGCCGTCTCGAGGGCAGAGACGTCGCCCGTAAGACGAGTCTTTTGCTTCATCAAGCCCTCTTGCTCGTTACGCAGAGACAAGACGCTCCGTCGCAGCCACTCCTCTTCCTCCTTGAGGTTCTTGACGGAAAGCTCAACGTGCTCCCTCTCCGTGCTAGCTCGCTCAAGGGCAAGGTTGGTCTCTTCCAGGGCCCGCGCGCGGTTATCGCGCTCATCCACCATGTGCTTCGTCTGCTTGGACAAAAAGTCGGATACTTCGGCAGCAGTCTCGACGACAGACTGGTGCACCTTGTCCAGAGTCTGAAGCTGGAGCAATGCCTGGGCTGCAGCATCGTTGTGCTGCACAATCTTGTCCAGCTTCTCGCGGACCTCGGCGTCATCGTACTTCTCGGGCATCATGGCCTTGAACGTCTGCTCCGTGGGGATAGCTGCGACTACCTCGTCCCGGATCGTCTTGGAGTGCTCAAAGTGGTCTCCGACGAGGTCAAGCACGCTCTTGACTGCCTCCAGAATCTGGGGCTGGTATTCGCTCACGCTGCCATGGACCTTGCTGACGGCTTCCTGGATCTGATCGCGCGTCTGCTGGTGATCGGCCTTGCCTTCGTTGTGAGTCTCCTCTGAGCGAACAGCCACCTCCTCCACCTTGGTGAAGACAATCTTAGAGGCCTCCTCCATCTTCTCCAGGGAGTCAGTCACGGTTGACCCGAGCGTATCAATCAGCAACTTCAACTCGTCGGCGACGGCCTTGGTGCCCGCCACCGCGGACTCGGTCACAATCTCGCGTGCCTCGGCGGCTTGCGACTTTTCATCCATCAGAATTCGAAGCGCCTCGCTCTTAGCCAGGACCTCGCTAATCTTGTCGTCGATCTTGGTGCGAATGTTTTGCGTGACCTCGTCAAGCTTCTCGTTCGACTCGATCCTCGACCCGGCAATGGCCTCCTTGGATATCTCAAACTCGCTCTTCATGACCTCAAACATGTCCTTGACGTCTCCGGCAACAGTCTCGTTCTTTTCAATCTTTTCGCCCACGGCTTTGAGCGCCTGGCCGAGGCCTTCAATGCCAGTAGAGCCATCCACGAGCTTGTTGCGAATCTCCGTCTGGAACTCCTCGAGGAACGTCTTGACCTCAAATATGCGGTCATGGACGCCATTAATGTCAGACTGACGCTCGACGAGCGCCTTGGACGAGGCCTCGTGGTAATTGTCAAACGTTTCCTTGGTCTCCTTCATGACGGCTTCAAGCTTGCCAAGGTCCTCACGGGTGGTAATCGTGGCGAAATCCGCAACTGCAATCCCGTCCACCAGAGTCTTGATATCACGCACAACCGTCTCGACGGCGTGAACGTCTGACTTCTTAACCTTCTCGGGGCTCTTAGCTTCCCGCTCAGCATGCTCCTTGATGTCTTCCAAACCCTCGCCGAGCGATGTGATAATCGCCGTGAGTTTAGCAAAATCATCCTTGTGGAACAGGTTGGGGATGTCTTCGAGCTGCCTGTTGACGGATCGGATAGCCTCTCGAGACTCCAGGATGAGCGACTCCAGTGTGTCGATATGCTCCCTGCGCACTGCCTGGTCACCGTCAATCAGATGGTCAACACGGGCTTTTGTGTTGCGCAGGATGTTTTCAATAGCAGCAACGTCTTCCTTGGTGGGGTTGCCGCCACTCTTAGTGAAGATGGAGGGAATGCTTCTCATGACGTAGTCCTCCCCTTCCTTTGGCTTCTCGGACTCATCCTTCTTGTCGTGCTCCGACTTGCCAGCCGATGACGCTGATTGAACCACCACCGGCGCGCGCGACTTGAGCTCGTCGACACCTCTCTGGACGTCGCGAAGCATGGTCTCCAGATGGGACAGGTCCACCTTGGGGGCCGCAGCAGCAGCGGCAGCCGAAGAAGCTTTGGCTGGGTCCAGCTCCTCAATCTTGGCTCGCAGCTGCGTGATTAGGATCTCGAGGTTCTTGATATCATCATGCTTGGCCATATCAGCAGGGATAATCGCCATCTCGTTGTCGTGCTCGCCGCCGCCAACAGTGCGAATGGCAACAGCTCTATCGTTGCTCGAGTCGCGAATGGTGCCAATGTCCGACCTCACGCCGTCCAAGCCTTCCTTGAGAGCGTCGAGAATCTCGTCGTTTGCAGTGAGATCAACTGGCTTGTTGGTGATTCTGTCGATGCCGGCTCGAATGTCGTTCAGGCCATCGTTGAGAGCGTCCAGAATCTCGCTAGTCTCCGGTCGCGGTCGGAGGATCTCCTGTCGAAGGTTGCTCAGGCCGTTTCGCAAAGCGTCAAGGAGCTCGTCGTTGTGTGGCTGCGACATGGGAGCGGCTGGCACCATGGATGAGTGGACAACATCGCGAAGGCCTTCCAGCTCCGTCTGAAGCTGTTCTCGAGACGTCGCGTTGGCTTTGGACACGAGCGACGACATTTCCTCCTTGAAGTCCTCCATGCTCTTCAGGAGACCCTCGAGGAAATCTTCTTGACTGGCCACGCCGGTAGCGCGGTCAACGTAGCGTTCGATGGCGACACGGAGATTCTCGAGGCCGTCCTTGGTAGCGTCCAGGAGCTGCTCGGTGTCGCGGCTGCTGGCAGCCATGTTCTCCTTGGCCCCGTCCGAGAGTGTCCTAAACTCTAGCTTCATAAAGTCCATCAGCTCGTGGAGCTTGGTGCTGATCTCGTCATGATTCCGAGTCGGCACCAGAGCGTTGCTCTTTCCGAGATCCAAGTCGTTGAGGCCCTCCTTGACTGCGCGGAGCATATCCTCGCGGGTCAGCTCGTTGCCGATAGCAGATGGGGCAACGGGAAACTCAAACTCCTCGAGGCATTCGCGGACGGCTTCAATGATTTCGTCTCTCGACATGGACGCTGGGGTGTCCATCTGAGGCGGGACGTAGTGCTTCAGGCCTTCGACCACAGCCGTCAGCACCTCATCTCTCGTAGCTGCTGGGGGCGACTGGTTGCGGCTCTGGTACTCTTGAAGGCCCTGCTTCAAGCATTCCAGAATCTCGTCCCTCTCCAGACCAATCTGCTGCACTTCAATCTCGGGCTTGTAATTCTCCCAAGCCTCACGGACAGCTTCGAGCACGTCATCTCTGCTCAAGTCGGGCATCTCCTTGGCAGCCTCGATGTCCTTGAGGGCGCTTCGGAGAGCAGTATAAATTTCTTGGTAGTCAACGGTGAGTTTCTGCAGAGACGCAGATGCCTGGGACTGACGACGATGCTCCGTGAGAACATGGCTCAGCTGCTCCTTCATCTGCTCAAGTCCCTCGTCAATGACCCGCGAAACCTCATCCTTACTAGCCGAGGGTGATGGCTCGGCATTGTCTCCAGCATTTCGGCCGACGTTCTCCAGCCTCTTGCCAAGCTCGCGGCCCATGCCCAAGACTTCACCGCGAAGCTCTCGGACAAGTGCCTTCACCTCTGCCGTGAGGCCACCGCTCGCCGCAACGCTATCCTTGACAGAGCGGATGATGTTGATGACGTCGTCGTTGAGAATGCCTTGGGAAGCCGGGCCTCGACGGGAACTGTCCAAGTTGTTGAGCGAGCGCGGAGCAATGGCACTGCTAGGGCCGTGAGGGACATGGCCCTCGTTGTGCTCCAGGCTGAATCTCCGGGAGTGGCCCGGGGCAAAGCCTGCTGTGTTGACGGACACCATGGCACTCTCCGTTTGCGCCCGGACGAAGTTAACCAGCTCCTCCACTTTGGCAGCGGTAGCCATGCCTGAGAGCTTCTCGGAGAGCTCAAGGAGATGGCTGAGGAGCGATTCTTGTCCATCCTTGGTTCCCAGGCCACGAAGGATCTTCTCCAGAAGAAGGATAGAGGTTGCGCCCGAGTTGTCGCCGCCAACAAGCGATGGGGTGCTCATGGAAGCGCGATCGATAGACTCAGCAAAGCTCTTCGGTGAAGGGATTCGGGGCATCTGATACGTCCGCCCACTGTTGGGTGAGGTCGGATGAGGCTTGTTGTCGAGGAAGTAGCCGTTGTACGAGTCCCGATGGATCCTGGCTGAGGTATCCTGGATGTTCCCCAGCAAGTCCCTGAGACTCTTCCTGATATCCTCGTCTCGAGTGTTTGTGGCCTCCTTGAGGCTAAGCAGATCGGTTGCGTTGTCTCTGCTGCGTCGGCTGAGAGCTGCCATTTCCTTCTGGAGGGAGCTCGCGATGCTGGTGAGGCTCAGGATTTGCGATGCCAGGCTGTCCATGGTTGCTCCTCCCTTGGCGCCATTCGTAATGTTGGACAGCGGTGGCTCCGTCTCCTTGGTGGGCGAGCTGCCGGGCATGCTCTGCAGGGCCAGCATGGTTGACGACACGGGCGGCGTGTTCTCGGACAGGATGCTCTGCGGTGCCGGTCGACGGACGGTTGGCCGAACAATAGGCGTCAGGCTGCTAGACAAGGACGGCGCGGACATGTTCATCTCCTTGTCGTAGATACCAGTCGTACGAGTCTCGAAGGAAGAGCTCTCCCTGAGCCCCGGCGGCGTGGTAGGTCTGGTGCTCCTCTCCAGCTTCTCGTATGACTTGGTGGGCGACACGCTCGGGGAGTGCGAGTTGTTCTCCAGCATCAGACTGATGTCTCGCACAGAGCCCGACTGCATCGACTGCAGCCTGCGGTGAGGGCCGACGCCCTTTGCGAGCGATCTGTCGGGCGACCCGTCGTTGACGCGCTTGGGCACCGGAGGCGGCATATGGGTGCCGTGGTTGTCCTTGACGCGCTCGCTCAGCGCGGCGTGCGCCGACTGGATGGCGCTCGACACCGGGTACGGCGATGTGCTCGTGCGCGTGGCCATCTTGGGCGACTGAGGGTTGAGGGGGAGCGGCGGCGGCGCGCGCTCGGGATCGGAGCTGTCCCACCTGCTACGGGTTAACTGACGCCAGAACATCATGGCGGCCTGCGGGAGATGCGGTGGGAAGAGGGCGAGGATACGCACATTGGGATGAGTCCTCGATCCGAGGAGGCTGAATGTTGATGTCTCAGGTAGGGCTCTCCGTCGAAAGAGCCTTGTCGTTCACTATATGGCATGCTTCGACGCCTCGGATGGAATGTAACAGCGTGCAGATGGCCAAGAAATGCGCCCTGCCTTTGTCAAATCGAACTGCTGCTTCACTCAAGTCTCAAACGGGGGCTCCGCCGAGGACGACGCGAGCTAGGCAGCGATCTAGAGAGAGAGCAAAATTGAGGCGCTCAGGTGGGACTCTTGAGCCGGATATCAATTATATATCGCGGGTTGCAGCCTGCTGCGAAGGGGGTGAAATAGAGAGAAATAGGTACTGGGTAAGAAAAAAGACAAGTAATCGCGGCTGTCCAGTGTTGACACTGTAAACACCCCAGACAATGTGTTCCGGGCGTTTCTCACAACCGCTGGGGTCTCATAAACAGATCGCTGATAAGTTGCGGTGGTGGTTGGTTTTTAGATGGGGAAGCGCTTTGAGCGAATGGGCTCGTCAAGAAGGCGGGCAAAAGTGACAAGGGGTGATGTTCTTGTTTGTTGCGCCCACTGCCGCGTTGCCGGGCAACAGTGGGGCATATTATGGGCGACGTCCCAGGCTTCGAGTTGTTCTGCGCTATCCTGTGCAGCACACTGCTGTGAACGGGGGTTTGCCTGAAGAAGAGAGAGAAAGAAAACAAGGCACATCCATTGGCTCTGGCTTCGGTTGACGAACTTGTGCGCGAATCAGGAACCGGATATGCGCCACGTCAACCGTTTCCTGATGAGGTCGCTTGTCGATGGGGGGGAGTAACAAGGAACTGGGATTATCGCGGGTTATGCTCTCGGGATTGGTGGAGATGCCGGTGCCCTGTGCGCGTTTATCTGCGAGCGAATGGGTTCGTTGACTCTGGACGCCTATCAATGACTGGGATATTCATCATCATGAACTTTTGGGGTGATGGTGTCTTTTTTTTTGTATTCTTCTTCGTCGTCGCTAACAACTAATGATACCAAATCTAATTCTACACAGAGCAGAGTGCGGGTTCCTCGTCTTTTCGTTCTATACATGCCGTCACAAGAGCCCAGCGGCGCCTTGTAATTCCCAAAGAAACACGCCGGAGTTCTAGCATTTCCTCCATCTCTCCTTTTCTTTATATATCAAGATTCCTCTCGCTTGTTCTCGCTCTTTTTGATCAATTGTTCGCTCCTCTTTCCTTTGTCTCAATTCGCCTGTCATTTTTTTCGTTGATATTACATGATGTAGGGGTGTCGATTTGTGTAACCCGGAGGTCAAAGCGATCGTCTCTATTTGCTGAACATGGTATCGAAAGCAGGGATCAAAGTCTGGGCGAGCCAGAAAGAGAACACGAGCTTAGGTCCAGTCATGAGCAGCTGCAGAGCATTTTCGTGTTAGTCTTTGTTCTTCAATCCACACCATCATCAAAATGCTACTCATCACGGCTTGTTAGTTCGTACCTTGGGAACGAGGCCCTTGAAGAAACTCGGCAGACCCTCGTTCTTGGCCATGTTGGCCAGAATCCTGAAGCCGCTCTCGGGGTTGTCAAAGTTACGGTTCTGGATACGGGTCTTGATGACGTCGAGCGGCGCGGAGACGACGAGCGAGGCCGACGCGCCGGCGATGGAGGCGATGAAGTTCTGGAACCAGGTGGCCTTGTTGTAGTCCTCGAGGTGGAAGAGGTACTCCTTGGCGAAAGCAGAGCCTCCGAAGAGCTGCGCAATGGATCTTTGTCAGTACTGATACTTGACGGATGTTGTGAGCTCTTGTCAGGATGGAGAATGGGGGCTTACGGCGAAAGATCCGGGGGCGTTGCGAGCGGCGGTCCATCCCCAGCCTCGGTACAGGCCAAAGCCCTCGTCGGCAACAATCTTGAGGACGCCACGGCCGCGGAAGGCCTCGGGGTTCGTCTGGCGCTTGATCTTGAGCACATCGAGGGGCAGCAGGACGATTTCACCAATACCAATCAAGCTGTAACGACCAAACATGTCAGCCAACCACAATCTCTCAATCCAAAACAGCTTCTCTCGTCGAATATACTGACCTTCCGGCAGTCGAGTGCATAATGGCCTTGCCCGTCTTCTTGCCAAATGCATTCTCAAAGTCCTTGCCGTAGTGCTTGCCCAAAAAGTCGCGCGCGACGGGCTGGCCGCCGTACTTGTATATCCTCTGCAGCACCTTGTAGCCGGCGGCGTAGCCCAGGCCGGGGAAGAGCGAGACGAACTTGCGGCCGAGGGGGGCCGAGGCCTTGTCCTTGAAGATGACCTGGTTCAATTGGCTTGCCGAGGTGACCTGCGACGGATTGGTCAGCTTTCGTGCTTCACTCGGCGTTACGGCGAAGGGCAGGTCGAGGGGGTGAATCGGTGGAAGAAGGCGTTTCTTACTCGGGTCTGGTTGCTCATCAATCGCTTCGCAATGGTATCAACCTATTCGGCGCAAGAGCAGAGAATTCGTCAGTTCGAAGTCCCGTTTGAAAAGGCGTTTGCGAACATCCTCTAGGCAGCGACATACGGGGTGGAAAATGGCCAGCTCGGAGATACCAGCAGAGCCTGAATGAATCAATTAGCCACACATCCAGAGCAATTACGCGCGCAAATAGCATAGGAAACGAAGTAATGGCATACCTGAACCGAGCAGTCGAGCCAGGTTCGACTCCTTGGAGCTTCCAGAAGCGGGTGGTGACATTTTCGCGACAAGTCTATCCGAGGATTACAGAGAAATCCCTAGAGAAGATATCCACTGGGTAGAGAATAAAGAGAAAGAATACAACAATCAATTCCCAGTGTCACAAACGCGCCCAAGAAAGAAGAAGAACCGCAACCGGAAGTATTAAGAACAAACAAGAGAAAAAGTTGGGTTGTGTGTTTGTGGAAACTTTTTTTTTGCGCACTTCTCGCGATTATCTGATGACGCTCTGGAGCGCTGTGCTGCCCGATAAGGAATTGTATGTATGTACCTCAGGTCCCACTGACTTGACTGGGGGGAGAGTGACTGTTTCCACCGATTTTCGGCGGGCAGCGGGAGAGAAGAGAGACTTTTCTTTGGGGGTGGGCGCGGCTTTGCGGTTTATCAGCGGGGCTGGTTTGCAATTTGGAGGGGTAAAGAATTGGCGGGCTGAACTGGGTTATCGGACGATTATTGGAGATTTTTTTTCCCTTGGCGTCTTTTGGTGTTTTGGTGGTTGCTTACCCTGGAGAATTGCCTTTTAGCTACGAGAAACTGTTCTGATGTAAGAAAGGATAAGAGAAGGATAGAAATCAGATATTCGATTGTAGTTGATGGAGTAACAGGAGTATTAGGCAAATTCTATGCGCCTACGGCTATCCGGGCATCTGAATATTGGCGGCCGACTCATGTGGAAGCCGCATTGTATCGGTCTCGTCTTGTTCGTATAAGACCGAGGTCCTAAAGGCGATGCTGAATCAATTCTCTACCGCGGCTTAATAGCCGAGCGACAGTCCCACGGCATGCTTGATATTCTAGCCTTGCTCACTATTCGGGCATGACTCGGTAGTAATGCAATTCAGTACCCAGTATTGTCTGATGAAGCAAAATGACCTTGGCAGCAGATTGTTCATCGACTTGGACCCCCCCCTACTGCCCTCGCGATATCGTCATCACAGACCTACATTCACGGATATTTCGTACCCTGAATCATATATAGTACAAGTATCGTATCAAGTAATTACATTGCTCAATGCCTCTAGTAGTCCCGGAATATAGACACCATCTCGTCCAGTCTCATCACCTGTCCAATGAGCTTATTCTGCTCCTCCAGGTGCCGGTTGTACTTGTTGTAATGCTCCGCCGTCATCACTTCTTCCTCCTTTCCCATGACGTCCTTTCTCTCCACAAACGACAGAATGTTGCGTTCTCGATGTCTCTCCACCTGCAGCACCTGCAAGGCGCGCACCATGGCCTTGTACAGGTCGTCCAGGATGTGCGCCTGGTATCGTTCCCGGTCAAAGAACCAGAAGAAGAGCGTCCGGTTGGCCAGTCTGGTGTTGTCCTTGGGAACCTCCTGAATGTCCACCAACCCGGCCATCTGCATCGCAAGCATCTTGGCCTGCACGTCCGTCTTCTTCATCAGCGCCGCAGAGGGCAGCATCTTCTCGTCCAGCTTGCCCTTCTCGCGCAGTATGCGAGTGAGGCGAAGCCCGTGCCTTCCAAACGACTGTTCAATGAAACCATCCAGCTCTAACTCACGAAGACGCTCCATCACCTGGTCGAAATCCACCGTCCACTGCCCGCGGCCCTGCGTACCGCAGTGGCGAACGAAGCGATGCTTACTCTCTGCTAACAGCAAGAGATGCTGGCGCATCTGATCCAGGCGATTATCGGACGATGTCGCTGTGTCTTCAAATGTCACCTTCATCGGTCGGCCTCCATTGGGCTTGGAAACAGACCGAGATCTTCGCGAGAAGCTCCCGACCTTACCCCCTTCGTCCGAATCGTCATCGCTGTCGAATGGTCCCGATGGCTCCTCATCCGAGTCCTCGGTGATCATGTCGTTTCCGGCGGGCGCCGTCCTAATCTTCTCTGCGCTTTGATAATCGATCTTGTCCTTTGGCGCCTTGCCTATCCCTGCCGCGACATTGATACTCTCGTCGAGATGCTCGTAGACGTCCATCGTCGTGGCCGCAGCTTGTTGCTGAATCGAATCCTCGCCCAGGAAAGGATCGGGCCGGCACCTCGACACTTCTGAAGTCAGGAGGCCCAACAGCGTGCGATACACTTCGCCGGTAACTTCGCCCAGAGTGTCCTTGGCGAAGGCGGCCAGACGGTGGCTGCGCAGCTCCACCAGGCATTTCTCGTAGTTGACCCTGACGACCACGTTGGGCTTTGGATATTCTAGTTAGCAAAGGTCAAAGAACAATGGAATGGGGAGGCTCACATTAAGAGGCGGCAAATCGTCATCCATCGCTCTATCCTCTTCGCCGAATCCATTCCCGAGCTTCCGTCGCTTCGTTACTGGTCCCCCAAACTGGTCAAGCTGCCTCTTCAATGCCTTGGGCTGCTCTATAAACGATCGATACTGCTCCATAATCTGTCGTTGCTGATCTATCTTCGTCTTGGATGCCTTCTCGCCGGGCGCCGTCTTGGTGACCTCGGCTTCGATCTCGCGGTAAACGTCGTTAGGGTCGCGGAATGACTGCGGCCGAACAGTCTCGATGATGTCGCATCGGATCAGATGGCTCAGCACGCTGTGCAGTTCGGATTCGGATTGAATCAGGCCAGAGCCGGCCCCGTTCACCCCATTGCCGTTGGCGTGCCCGTTGGACGTCGGGGCGCGGGACACGTAGGCGTGAGTCAGCTCGGCGATTCGCGCATATCCAAGAAGCAGCAGTGTCTGAACGAGATCGCGCTCCGCCGTCCCATATTGGCTCTCGATCATCTCCAAAATCTTGCCAAATCGGACGAGATTGTAGCACGCGTCGGGATTGGCATCGTACGTGGTGCGCTTGGTATCGGGGTTTGTGTGGTGGTATAGAAGATTCTGCTGGATGAGGACGCCCAAGCCATTGCGAATCTGGCGAGGGCCGAGCTGCGTGTAGAGCCCGAGCTGCGCGATGGTGGATCGGCCCTTGGTAAAGAGCGCGGCGAGGATTCGCTGCGAAAGTGTGAGCACAATGGACAGAGTCAGCCTCTAGCACATGGCGATGATGCCGAAGACGCAGAACAGCGCCAATGGGCGAACAGGCCTCACATACCGAAGGAAGCTCGCCGTAGAGATCACTGACTAGGAGAGCGCAAAGCTCCGCCGCATTTTTTGTCTGGACAAATCACCGAGATTAGCCACCAATTGCCCTCGTCTTCCGCGATACAAACGGCGAGCGGGAGTGTTGACTAACGACGAACATTGCTTGCTCCTAGAGATCCTCTCACTATCTCTAGAGCTGCCACAGGCGCTACCTCGACGTCATTGACTTGCGCCGCACCAGATCCGATCTCGCCGTGCTGGAGGAGAACAGAAAGGGCGGTGGAAGGGAGGAAAAGGCGCTGGTTTGTCGGGGTTGGTTGAAGTGAAGATGTGAAGCAAAGGGAAAAAAAGTTGACGGTTTAGTGATGTGTTTTGCGAGCTGCAAGATTGGCCTGGGTCATTTTTTTTGCGGGCGATGGTGAGCTAAAAGGGAAGGTGGGGCAGCCGCCAGCATGTACCGCCCACTATTGCATAGCCCACATTCTGGTGGTAGAAGAGCTGCAGGTACTTGAGCTCATACTAATAAGGTGAGCAGAGCCTCACTTTGTGATGATCTTTTGAAAGACTCTTCAATCGCATTGTTTAGATACAAATGCGCGTACTGAATAGATCGTACAATGGCAATCAGATATGCATGCATTGCGGCTACGACGCATTCGTCTTCTACAGCTGTGAATGTTGCGTGTGATGGGTATCGCTTTACTTGAAGTTTTACATGCCAACCCCTCTATCGTACAGACTGCCATAGAGGCAGAGCACCTACTACTCAGCAGTGAACTCAACCTTTATGATGCCTCGGCTGCCCCCCGCTGCTGCTTCAGCTTCTCCTCAAACTTGGCAAACTCCTGCAGAGAAATCTCCTCTTCCTCATCAAGGATCTGCTTTACTCCCTTGACTTCCTCAATCTGTGCGACAAGAAATCAATGGTTAGTAACGAATCTGGGGACGTAATACAAGCTCGAGGGATCCATGCAAACTCAAAGAAACTCACATAATGCATCAGCATGCCCTCAATGCCATTCTTCAGGGTGACTGTACTTGAATCGCAAGTTCGGCAAGCCCCGCGCAGCTTCAACAAGACCTGACCATCCTCGAAGCCACGGAACTCAATATCGCCACCGTCCTCCTGGATGGCCGGCCGGATCCTCGTTTCCAGCAGCTCCTTGATCATGCCCACCACTTCGCTGTCGTTCTCGTTGTAAGCAAGGCTGTCCTCTTCCGCCGCCGCCTGACCAGCCTCATCCGCCTTGCGCTCCACGACATTGACAATCTTCTCGCCGGACGTGATGGCCTCGGTGATAAGGGCGAAGATCTCGGGTCGTATGTGAGCCCAATTGGCATCCCCGGCCTTGGTGACGGTGATGAAGTCGGTTCCATAGAAGACAGATGTGACGCCGTCAATGTTCATAAGCTTCGCAGCCAGAGGCGAGGGATGCGGCGGGGATATCGTAGAGCGCGGGTTCAAATATTCTATAAACGGCGTGGACATGTCCGGCGGAATGATGCGGTGGTTCGGCAGAAACTTGAGTGCGTCTGGGTTCGGTGTGCTCTCGGTCTGGATGAAGATTGTCCGGGCACCGCTCGGCACAGATCGCTGCGTCTTCGTGGGTTGAGGCCGTGATGCGGCAATGACCGGGATCCGGATGCCGGTGCTGAGATGCCGCCGAGACAATCTTGATGCGGCCGCTCTGACTTGACAGGCGGCCAGTGGTCTGGAAACCGCAGTGGCGACGAGTCGCGAGGCCGTCCTTTGCATGTTTAGCGACGCCATGGTGAGGTTATTACAAGGTATAGAGCAAGGCAAAAAGAAGAAAACCAAGAAAGTGATGGGCGGGCTAATAAACCTCGACGGATTACAAACCCGACCGACGTCAAGAGGCAACTTTCCCACGAAGCCGCCAAAAGCTGCATATCCGCGGGGCATCACGTGACGCGCTCAACCTCCCGGGAGCCGAAAATTAGACGGGTAGCTGCACGACGAGGCACTTCTTTTTCGGCGACGACGCTCTGCTTGCTCCATCACGACGCCTAAACGACCGTCAATTGCCTAGCAATCACACCCCCCGACAATGCTTTCGAGGTCGGCTCTCACGAAAGGCGTGCAGCACGCCGCTCGCCGGTCAGGCGCCGCGTCTCGCCGCGGCTTCGCTGCCGCCGCCTCTGCTCCGACCGGATCGTACGAGACTGCCGACATCAGCGGCCTCAGAGTGGCCTCCAAGGACACCCAGGGACCGACCACGACGTTGGCGGTTGTTGCCAAGGCCGGCACTCGTTACCAGCCGCTGCCCGGCCTGACGTTTGGCCTCGAGCAGTACGCTTTCAAGGCAAGGGCGCATTCCCTGCTCTTCGGCGCAGCTTGAGCTAATTTTACCATCGCCATCTCATAGACCACCCAGCGACGATCTGCCCTGCGCATCCACCGCGAGTCTGAGCTTCTCGGAGGCCAATTGACTGCCTCTCACACCCGCGAGGCTCTCGTCATCGAGGCCAGCTTCCTGCGCGATGATCTGCCCTACTTCGCCGAGCTCCTGGCCGAGGTTGTGTCCCAGACCAAGTATACCAGTAAGAGATGGCCCGGTCTGCAAAATTTCGAAACAGAGAGAAAGTTGATGCTTGTGGTGATGGGAGGCTAAACATGTTTTGCGTGCCGCACAGCCCACGAGTTCCACGAGGAGATTGAGCGAATCCTGCCCTTCAAGAAGGCTGCTGTCCACGCCGATGTGGCCGGCCTTGCCCTGGACAACGCCCACGCCGTCGCTTTCCACAATGGCCTCGGTGCCGCCCTGAACCCCTCCGCCTCGTTCCCCTTCCAGAAGTACGTCAACGAGGAGTACGTCTCCAGCTTCGCCGACGTCGTCTACTCCAAGCCCAACATCGCCGTTGTCGCCGACGGCGCCGGTGCCCAGAACCTGTCCAAGTGGGTCGACCAGTTCTTCAAGAGCGTTCCTGCTGCTGCCCGCAGCGGCCAGACGCTCAAGTCCGAGCCCACCAAGTACTATGGTGGTGAGCAGCGAACCAGCCACCCTGCTGGCAACGCCGTCGTCATCGCCTTCCCCGGCTCCGACACCGCCGGCTCCAAGCCCGAGATTGAGGTTCTGGCGACGCTCCTCGGTGGCCAGTCCACCATCAAGTGGACCCCTGGCTTCAGCCTGCTGGCCAAGGCCACTGCTGGCACCTCTGGCCTTTCCGTCGGCGCTTCCAACCAGGCCTACTCCGACGCTGGTCTCCTGACCATCCAGCTGTCTGGCGCCGCCGCCTCTGTCCGCAAGGCTGCTGAGGAGACCGTCAAGGCTCTCAAGGCCATTGCTGCCGGCAACGTCAGCAAGGAGGATGTGGCCAAGGCTGTCGCCAACGCCAAGTTCGGCCTTCTCGAGAAGGCTCAGACCCGTGGTGCTGGCATCCTGCTGGCGGGTACCTCCCTCGTCCACAGCGGCAAGGTCCAGGACCTCGCTGCCCTGGCCAAGTCTCTGGACGCCGTCACTGCCGATAAGCTGAAGACTGTGAGTTGTTGTTCCCTTTCCACCTTCATTTTCCTTCATGAACTGTACTGACATGTCTTTTTCTTCAACTCAACAGACCGCCAAGTCTCTCCTCGACGGAAAGGCAACCGTCTCTACCGTTGGTGACCTGTTTGTGCTGCCTTATGCTGAGGAGCTGGGTCTGCGGGTATAGAAGGGGGGAAAAGATATCATGGCGTGAAAAGCTTGTACAACAGTCAATAGTCATCTAGATGTGAGGGAGGAGCCAAAGTCATGGTGTTTGGTGCGAAGACAAAAAAAGGCCATTCTGTATTCAATTTCCTTCTCCTTTGTGTTTATTGAAACGCAGCTGTCCCATATATCTTCTTGAGCTCGTCACCAAACCTCCTACTATGGCTAGGGGGACGAGAAAAGGAAAAGCACAGAAAAAAAAAAGACTATATATGATTTTAAAAGCCTGTCAGTAGCTGCTGAACGTGGATGGTGAGTATACGTAATGATGAGACGACTTATGCGAAGTTCAGGCATGGCTGCGGCCTGGCGGCTTCATCATGATACGTGCATTACGATGTCTTGTTGTCCACGCACACAGGACAGATGTCGATGCTGTCATCATTCCAGCGACGTTTGTCAAAGTAAGCAGATGAGTCGGTATACGTGGGAATCTATCGAGTATCTAGGCTGGGGGATCGTATTGTGGATCATGCAAATAGTTGGCCCGGTCAAGCGAGGAGCGAGAGATTCGGAACCTTTGGTTTGGTTCTAATCTCTGAGCTTGTAGATGAGTGCATCTGGCTCCGGAGATTGAGGAAGAAGCTGAGAATCAGCTCGACTGATAGGGGGGGGGGGGGGGGGGGGGAGAAGTCTTGAGGGGAGGTCAGAGCAGGGAATGGGGATGGGATGGCCATTGGCTGCTACAATTTGGTCTTGGATGTCGTGTCATTGTAGATGTCTGGATCGTTGTGAATATGTATCTGTGATTGCAGATTTTGATGGGATATGGACCACGGTTTTGCTTGCAGGGACTCTGTTCTATGAAGCACATTGACTATCACCCTGATGCACATCCCGCATGTTTCGATGGGCTTAATTGTACCTACCTAGTATGCCCAGAAATGTACGTTCATGAGACAGCTGTCATCACTCTCAAGTAGCTTTGAGGGGGGGACTCAGAGATATGCGAGTCTTTATAGCCTGAAAGTCTGGGGCAAGAGACACCTCAATTGCCGGCGGGAGCACGGAGTTTTGTGGCGCATACCTATCCATGTGTAGTACAAGTACTACCGGGAGGACGAAGAGATTACTGCTCGTAAATCCAAGAGGCGTGATGAGATCGGGGCATAGGCAGTTGCTGAAAATAGGTGGAAAAAAGGGGGCAACGGCAGGGGAAGCGGGAGGAAATAAAAACAAAGCAATTGAAATGGTAGTATTTATCAAATTTCAGCCAAGATGACGGCGTGATGAAACTAGTTTGGAAGGAGACATGTCGAGTGTTGATCTTGTTGTTGATGTACGGTAGCTGGAAAGGTCTCCGTTCACGATGGTGTGAGCTGGTGGTGTAAGTCGAACATGGCCTAAAGAAGGGGGAACGAGCGGATCAGCTCCGTGATGGCAAAGATTCGACCGCACCTTACGAGATGGCTAGCAGGCAGTCTGTGCAATAGTCTCACACTACTACAGGGTTTGCAACACACAGATAATCTCCGCAAGATGGAGATATGGAACATGGAGGGCGGGCAGCAGGTGAGGCTGGCACATGTATCAACTGACATGACCCGTCGTCATTTCGCGGCTGTGCGAATGACGCGCTGTCTCGGTTATTACTAGCTTGTTAGATTCTCCCTCACCAGGCGAACCCCGGGGGGGCCTGAACTGAGATGCTGCCGCAATTATGGGTATGTAGGTGCTTGTACGTATAAAAAGCATCTGGGAATAATAATGGGGAGATGTGGAATTTGCAGACGACATTGGCTGTGCGGGAAACCGGGGGTGCCACGAGATTGGCGCCTTGCAAGGAGAGATTGGGTGGGTTGGTGATGGTGTTGACGTTGCATGTTGCGGAGGGATCCTGAAGATGAAGCAGACAAGTTGCTTCGAAACGGAGTGAACCAGGCCGCTACCTTGAAGGCAACCAGATGCCATATTGCCCCTTTGATGGCGTTGCAGAAGGCATTCAAGTACACCACTTGTATCTCCTCACAGAGTCTCTACCTCATCTCGTACATGATATGGCCCTCATTTAAACATTCCATCCATCTGGCCTGGCATCAACAGCCGTCACCAGCAGCCCTTGCCGGAAGAGGAACAAGGCTCAGCAAGGGTAGCTCGCTAGCGGCTCGTCCATCTCCCCTTTTGGTCTCCCAGCAACAGGGGTGCTTTATTGGGCCTCCTCTCGGGTCTCGTGGGCGTCCATTTGGATCAACTGCTGCTGGCCGGTCTTTGAAGCACCGCGTGAACAGCTCGAGCCCTCCGATTCTCTTTCAGCACCGCTCCACCCTATGCATGTATCTGTACTCTCGGGGCTCCTTTCCTCCTAGCGGGCTGCTTCAGGGCCTCCAGCGCTCCAGCTCTCCAGCACTTGCACAGATTCAGTGGAATGGCACATTGAACTTGAGTGCAACTGGGCGGCTCTCCTGACTGTCTTGGTAAGGTACTGTAGAGACCCCCCTGCACGTTTATAAGCGGCGCTCCACTGGACACCCCCCCGCAACACCAAAGTCACGACAACGGCCGCCTCTAAAACTCTTCCCGTCAGCGTGTACTTGTACCGTAATACCGCTGCAGCCGCTGGAGCTTATCGACCGGCAGGAAAAGCTCTTATGCGAGTCTTTTCTTTACCTTCTCTGCATTATCTGTATTATCCTTCTATTTTCGACTTCCCCGAGTTGTGGCTGCAGCGGCGCGGCTAAGAGGCGCTCCTGCTTGGGAACCGGTACCTTTGCCCTGTATCATTACACGGGAGGCGCGACAAAAAGAAAGGCACAGGTCACTTCCAGGTACCGTCGGGTCGGGTGCCTCTTTGCCTTTGCGGAGGGTGAGATTGGCACTGGACTTTCTAAGCCTGTTGGATTGGATACTCGACCTGAATCTCAGCTCGGGGGGCTCCAACAAGTCAGATCTTGCTTGTGCCTCGTGCCGCTGCTTCACCACTCTGCATCTCGACTCGACTCGACTCGACTTGTCCACCCGCCCTTTCTGCTGGCGGTGTGCCCTTGTTTCTCTGCTTCTCTATAGTCACTGTGAGTCTGCAGCCAAAAACCCTAGCCATGTGCTATCCTTGCTGTGTCGTGCCCTCAAACCGCCCCGCTGGCTGGATGGATCGCAGACGGATGGACACCGGATGAACAGATGCTGGATCGATCCCATCAATCATGGTTGAACATGCGCTGACTGACCCCCATTGAACAGCCTTCTCAACCATCTCGACCATCAAGCCGCCGTCACTGGGCACAGCTTGAGACAGCGCAGCAGCAGACAAGCTGCAACGTCATTTTCCCGTTTGTCCCACCTGATCCAGCGGTTCGCCTTGCCCAACGACCCCGGCAGGGCATCGTCAGCCCAACACACAACGCATACTTTTTGTTCCATTTTGCTTCGTTTTTTTGTCCATTGAGGCTCACTCTCCTCTTCCTCATATCTTCTCTGCTTTGTCCCTCCCGGCTGGTTTCTTCTCCCGTCTGGGCAGCTTCCCCGTCCCGTCTCGATGATCCCCCGACAGCCTTCCGCCATATCGTGAAAGCATTGCCTCGTCTTACTGTCTGTCCATGGCGGCAGGATGACGGCGCCTTCCTCCAGCAACCGGCTGAAGCTCACTCCCTCCAATTCACCTTTTCTCACCACCCGACGCCCGAGGTCTCCGCTGCGCGGCCGGCCCGTCTTCGACTCCCGCCTCTCGCTCAAGAGGGTTGTCGGCACCACATGCCGCTCGCCCACCGCCTTTGACGCCGTCGGAGCCAGCTTCGCCTACACCGCTGGCGGTGCCGTCGTGGTTGTCCGCGTCGACGCCGATCAGTACACCCAGCGATTCTACCGAGCCCGCCCCAATGTTGCCTCGCTCTACGCCTCGCCAAACGCGCCTTCTACACCGACGACGACGACAACGACGACCCCAAAGGCCAATGACAGCCGCAACCGTGTGGCCGCCGGCTACCGAGACTCCCACGGCGCGCCGGACTGGGCTGATGGAATGCCTAGGACGTGGACCAGCCGTGAGCGCATCAAGGCAGCCACCTGCCTGAGTCTAAGCCCGGACGGCAAGTATTTGGCTGTGGGCGAGACTGGATATGCGCCCCGGGTCTTAATCTTCAGCCTCCAGGACACATCCTCCGACATTCCTCTGGTCTCAATCAGCGAGCATGCGTTTGGCGTCAACGCCGTCGCGTGGTCCGCCGACTCCAAGTATCTCGCCTCCCTCGGTGCCGCCAACGATGGCTTTCTGTATGTCTGGAAGGTCGACCCCCGGAACGGCCAGACCAAGCTGTTCCAGCAAAATAGATGCACGTCCTACGTCAAGGACATGGTGTGGCTGGGCAACTCCCTCATTACTTTTGGCGTCCGGCACATGAAGATGTGGAAAATTGATGAAAATGCCGGCATCTCTCCGACGAAACCAAAGTTCCCGCCCGATCATCCTCCTCCTTCGCCAACTTCCCAAAAGACATTGCCTGGCCGGAATATCATCCTTGGAGGGCTTCTGGAAGCCACTTTTAGCTGCGCGGCCGTGGACGACAGCCGTCTCGTCATCTGCACCGAGGCGGGCGATGTATGCATTCTGGACGGCGACGATAGGCAGATGAAAGTCGTCTCCATCCTCAATCTTGACTTCTCTATATCAACCATCCAGTTGCGGGATAATGTGGCTTACGTTGGTGGAAAAGACGGAAGTTTCACCAAGCTCGACGTCGCTGGGCTCATGGACGGGCGCAAGGATTGTGTTATCAGCGCTTCCAAGACCTCGACTGGCTTGGTGGCTCTGGGTTTCATGACAAACCATTCAGTCACCATCGACGCCAGAGGTTCGATTGACGTCTGGGATTCGGACCACGTACCGGGCCAAACGGCTGAGCCATCGTTGCACATCAATATCCCTGGCCATGGAGATCCAGTTGCCGGTATCTGTCCCATGGACCGATTGAATGAGATGCAGGCGGCTTTTCTGACGTGGTCATACTCTGGGAAGGTGACATTTTGGGACCTGGATGGCCAAGTCAAAGTATCCATCATTGTGCCTCTGGAAGGCTTGAATGTGCCTGATTCTAACGCGGAGCCGGCGAATCAATTGACCTGCGTCAAGGTCTCCAAGAGTGGGCGCCTCCTGGCCACGGCCGACCGCCTTGGTGTGTTGAGAGTTACAGACACAGTCACTGGGGATTGCCTGCTCGATACCAAGGCTCACTCAGCTGATTGCACTTCCATCAGCCTGTACGAAGACGAGGGGAGATTCATCATGGCTTGTTGTGGTAGGGACCGCACGGCGCAGCTATTTCACCGTACCTCTACGGGCGGCACTATCGAGCATTTCCAAACAATTGAGTTTGCTTCGCGGGTCGTACAGGTGCTTGTCCCATCGGATGACAAGGTCATCACTTGCTCCTGGGACCGCACGATGCACATTCACGATCTGGTGACCAAGGAAGGGGAGCCTGACGCAATCGCGGCCATTCTTTCAAAGGTGGTCTCCCTCAAGGCGTCGCCAACTTCCATGACCGCGAGCTTGGATAATCGGACCTTATTTGTCTCGATGCTGGACCGATCTGTCTGCCAATACGATATCCTAACGGGGCGACCGATCAACTGCTTCAAGTGCATGGACGAGAGCGGTATAGAATCCGCGGTTCTCGAGTCACTCTCTATCGAGCAGGGTGCGCCCAGAGACTCTGACTTTCTGCTGGCCGCCTCCAACACGGACAAGTCGATTCGACTCTATGACTCCATTTCCGGGGCATTTCTGGACCGGGAATGGGGCCACACCGAGGCCATCAATGGCGTGGCCTTTGTGGATGACGGCGATGAAGGCAGAAAGGTTGTGAGTGTTGCTGCGGACGGGACCATCATGATATGGAGCCTCGATGTACATGAGCGGCAGAGAAGCAGAGAGCCGTCGCCGGCGAGAGAAGCAACTTCGGGCAGGCCGCCGCTGCGAAAAGTCCTGTCCAAGGCCGAGCTGGCAGAGTTCCAACGGCCTCGCGAGAACTCAACGGGTCAGCGCACCTCGCCGCCATCGCCGCCAGCACAATCTCGAACTTTGCGGAAGCGCACTTCCCGACTCAATCTGTCTTCTACCACCCCCGGCTCCAAGACGCCGTCGCAGATCAGTCCTGGCAACAGCCGGACCACAGACGACACTCCTTCACGTCGAACCACTGCAAACAGCCCTCCGCTGAGCCCGAGATCCAGACTGCATCGTAGGCCTTCGCTACCGGCCCTGGGCCAAGCAGCGCGCAAGAAGAACTCTACTCCCAACCTTCGTGGTAATGCCTCGTTGACCACAGCGACGGAACAAGCCTGCCGCACCTTGAGAGCGTACCGGAAGAAGCTCACATCCGCCGAGCCGATCAATCCAGATGCCCTTGGCGAGCTCGATCAGGAGCTGCGGTTCACCGCGGCCGCGCTGGGCGACCGCGCCATTAGGAGCAGGGCCATGAACGAGACTGTCCTGAGCGGACTTCTAGACCAATACTCTGAAAGGCTCGTCACTCTGCTGGACGAGAAGCTGCGCCTGACCGGCCAGCCCGCCGAGCGGGACACGGAGGCGTCAAGCGAGGATCGCCGCGGCAGTACTGACGAGACTTCAAGCACAACATCATCTTGATGATGGCACCTTTCACAATTCAAGTCTTTCCCCTTTTGTGTTAGCAACCTAGACCATGCAATAGTCTTTTTTTCTTTTGTACAAAGTGCCCGGTGCGGTCAAAGATCACCACATGGACAGAGCAGTCCACAAAATGGCGTTTAGGATTTCATTTTTCATAGTGGGAAGCTCTCGGGCGAGAGCCGAAAGGGAGCGGCGGACTGCTTCAGGAATGGGAGGTTCTGCTTTTACTGCGCTGATATGATACCACGGGGTGCAATTGGAGTTTATGGTTGGTAGATCAGTGCATTTCGGTATCTTTACATGGGATGATTCACATCCTTGGGAAGACGGTTGGTGCGGCATGCAGTGCTTTTTCATTGGGTTCTTGTCGTTGATAAGGGGGGAAGAGGTTCTAACATTGGGCATTCAGCGGGATAGCTCTGCGCGTGCGCGTGCGTCGACCTGATGCCTCTATCAAGCTTGAAATTACTCATGTACAAAAACTATTGTCAGTGAAGATACCCCATTTACGTGATTCTGTGCCATTGTGCTGTCAAACAAGTGCTTGTTGATGCTATTGATGCTGATGATGCTCTTCATGCTCGTTGCTGTGGCTGAAGGCTGTATCACGTGATGCCTCCCGCGATTGAGGCGTTGGCGTTATCCCTGCCCTTTCCGGTCAGCCGCGCTCTTTGTCTCTCCTCCATCTCCAGAGTCTAACCACGACCGACTTCGCAGCCTCGCGGAAAAAAAGGCTATTCGTCAATCACGTGACACAGAAGGACTCGGTCGCGACAAGCAAACACGACAGCGAACAAGAAGGTCGAAGGAAAGGAACGCAATCGCGCCACTGCTTCAGAGGGGATCGCAGCGCCTTTCAAAAGGAAAAAGCCGGATCGTGTCGAGCAGCCAGCCGCTTCGGATCAGATGCGAGGAGGACGTTGAAGCGACCGCCTGGAAAGCGACCGGAATCTGGAGCCACGGCTGCCTGTACGTTATTTTGCCTTGTTGCCTCTCTCTTTTCGCAATCGCCTTTCTCCTCCTCTCCCCTGCCATTTTGCGCGCAATGACGTAGTAGATGGAACAAAAGGGTCATTATCATTTTTCTAACAATGGTGCTTCTCCGTCCTGTTTGATGAAGAAATAGATCGTGGCGCCCATTTATCCTGTTGCGACGAAGCGTGACGGTCCCCTCGATCGCGGGCGAGGCGGACCTCGGGGCATGAACCACCAACAACCGGCCGCCTTCACGCCCCTCGAGTCGCTGTTCCTGTTCCAGAGCCTGCTTTCGCAGGGGGTCGACGGCGGGGCGTTTGCGCGCATCTCGGAGCTGCTCAGGGGCAACCCCCTGATCAAGAGCGGCGAGACGTACGATGCTGCGCGTCTGACGCCCGAGGCGCTGCAGCAGCAGTTTCTGGGCCTGCTGCGGGACGAGCTCAAGGGGGGCGATGCGGAGCGCATTGATGGGGGACAGACGACAGCGGCGGCGGCTGGGGGAGGAGGGGACGGGACGGGGTCGCCTCCTGGGTCGTTGAAGAGGAAGCTGGGGAGCCAAGCGGTGCCGACGCTCAAGGATATCTACGACAATCTCGATGTTCTGCCGACGATTATCGACCGGCTGTACGCGCGGTATCGAGACCACATGGTTGGGCTGATTCGCGAGGATGAGCGTAGGCTGGCCGTCTTGCAGCGGGAGATTCAGCTGCTAGAGCGCAGCGAAAAGGAGCGCCTTGCCAAGGTGGCCGCCAGCCAGAACGTCACGCCGACTCAGGCCCCACGAGATCCGAGGACGGCCGCGACGGCAGCGGTGCCGACGACGGCATCAGGGGTGCCCTCAGTCGCCGCTCCATCACCGTTACCACCTACAAATGGAGCTGCTCCCCCTACGCCTTCTCCAACACAGACACCGACGACAGCGCCTCCAGCCATCAGAAAGGGACCAACTCCGAATACGCCTGTGCCGCCGCCGAAGCCACCCGTTTCTGCCGTTGCAGCGCCCAAGGTCCCTGTGCAGAGCCAGCTGGCGCCTGCGACGACGCCTTCTCGACCGGCTACCTCACCGAAGCCGCCGCATGCAGCGTCCTCTGTGCTTCAAGCGCCTACCGGGGCTCCTACACCGCAGCCAGGCATCCAAGTGTTGCAACCGCCGACGCAGCAGCCGCCGAATCAGAGTATACCGCCCCGGCCAGAGCCGGCTGCACCGCAACCTCCAGCCGCGCCTGGAGCTACTCCCGCTCAAGCTGGATCGCTCAAGTGGGAGAAGCCCTACCAGCCTCCGCCAGCGGCGCAAGCTCCCCCAGCTGAGCAGCAGTTCTCACCACCGCTTCTCTCTACGCCGAGCAATGCCGGTTTACAGCAGGCTCACCCGTCCGCGCAACAGCAGCAACCTCCACCTTCGCCTGCACAGCAGCAGCAGCAACAGTGGCAACGACAGCCAGTACCTCATCCGCAACAACCTCCACAACACCCTCAGCACCCCCAACAACCTCAACAACCTCAACACCCTCAACAACCCCCACAACACCCACAGCAGCAGCATGTGCCATATCCTACGCACCCGCCTCAATCACCACATGGCCAGGTGGCACATCTGCCACGTCCCCAACCGCAACTTCAAACACAGCCTCAACAGCAGCAGCAGCAGCAGCAACAACAACAGCAGCCGCAACCCCGGCCACCCCCTGCAAAGTCTGTTTTGGTCCCCCCTCAGCCTGCCGGCCAGCTGGCTGCCCCTATACAGCCGGGACCTCCTCGTGCAACCGCACCAGGGGCTACGCAGCAAGCTCGTCCGCCATCGACAACACCGGGCTCGGGCCGTCCCATCCAACCTCAGCAACAACCTCAGCCTTACCCTCAGCAGCAACAGCAGAGCCAGCAGACAGCAGCCCAGCACCAGCATATCCAGAGAGCAGTGCAAGCTCAGCCATCCTTGCTGGCCCAGAAGTTCCAGCACATCCCGAGAATCCAGACACCGCGGCCAATTGCTTCCGCCAATTCCCCCAAAGGGTCGCCTTCGGTTACCGCTGCTGGATCTCCCGTTGCAAATAAGGGGGCTACTCCTGGAGCTGCCGCAACACAACGATGGCAGCCGGGCGCTTCCCAAGCACAGCAGGGAGCCCCTCCTCGGCCTGCTCCATCCCCTTCACTCGCGACAAAGGACAAGCCGCAGGGCCCACCATATGGTGCCCAAGCGCCGCGCCCTGCGATCCCAGAGCACATGATCCGGCAGGCGGCTGCTACGCCGGGACCTGTGAGACGACTCAGTCCAGCGTCTCCTGCACCACGGACGCCAGCACCGTCAAGTCCTGTATCTCTTAAGCGCGGATTTGGAACCAAGTGGGCATCGCACTCGACTCCGTCTACCCCCGGTCCGATTGCCTCAGAGCCGGAGAGTCCGGCTTATGAACCCGTTAGTCCTCCACTGCAGCGGCCCACGCTCGCAAAAGACTCTGCAGTCAAGGCGGTTCCTAAAATGGCCGTATCTAAGCCGGCTGCCACCGTCGAGGCAAACCCCCCAGCAAAGGTACCTCGGGGTCGGCCTCCACGATCGGTGCAGAGAAGCCGCGGGCCCAGTGCGACGCCCTCTGCCACGGGGACGCGGCGAAGCCAATCTGTCATTAGCCAAACAGACGAGCTGTCTCTGGATCACTCCATGACCAAGGTGAAGAAGGAGGCGGCGGCAACGCCGCGCCTTAGGGAGGAGACTGGCGATACGACTGCGGATGAAAGCATGCCCGGACGGGGCATGATGGGTACTCCCAGCAGTATGACCCGTGCTTCTAAGCGCAAGCGGCAGGATACTCCTACTGACCTTCAAGGCCCTCCCACGCACGTGCTGTGGACGCGAGGCTTCACAAAGGTGTCTTCGTCGGCCCTCGACCAGATCTCGAGCCATCGCGACGCCAACATGTTTGCCACCGCCCTGCGGGAGAAGGACGCGCCCAACTACCGGCAGATTGTCCTCCAACCGCAAGACATCACGTCGATCCGCGCCGCCATCAAGGCCGGCAACAAGGCGGCGCTGCAGGCGGCGGCGAACCTGCCGGGCGGCGATCCGGGCACGGCCAGCGTCTGGCTGCCCATCTCCGACGATCTCGTTCCGCCCCGAGGGATAATCAACAGCGCTCACCTCGAGCGCGAGCTGGTGCACATGTTCTGTAATGCGATCATGTACAACCCCGATCCGGATCGCGGCCCCGGGCCGGCATTCATGAGGCGGTCGCAGAGCGACGAGGAGGAGGTGGTGGGCTACCGGCTCGACGAGAACGGGGTGGTGAAGAACACGCAGAGCATGTTCCTCGAAGTGGAGAAGCTCCTGGGGGACCTGCGGGCGGCGGAGAAGGACCGCGGCATCCCGCCCATCTCGACGACGAGACAGGGCAGCGTGGCAACGCCGACGGCGGCGGCGGCGGCGGCGGAGGACACGGCCGAGGAGGAGGACGAGCTGGCTGGCGACGGGGACTCGACGTCGGCGTCGGGGACGACGGCCAAGAGGAGGCGCATCAGCACCAGGATTTAGAAGCAGCCTGTGCTCTTGAGGATGCTCGGCGAGGGGGCGACGGTAGCCACGGCGGCAGCGACGCCATTGACGCCGTCGGCAGCGACGCCGCCGCCGCAGAGGGAGTCGCGGAGTTTGAGGGCGTCTCGGGGCTCGAAATTGGCCAAATAGGTGTGTGATTTTGCTTGCTTTCGGATTCGGAAGGATTTTGGGGAAAACAAGAAGAAAAAAAAAGATTTGGGGGGCTGCTCTTCATGACGACGATTGGAGAGAATTAGGGAAGAAAGGATCATTTACGAGCGGTGGGCGTGCAAGGATCTTTTTGGGTTGGAATTGTGTGAAATGTTGTTTCCGAGTTGTGTATATACCAGCGCCCGCCCCCTCCCCCTTTTTACTTTACCTTACTCTTTCTTCCTCCTTTTTTTTTTTGGTTTGTTAAGAGTAATTGTTCAGAGAAGGAATATTAGCCTCATAAGCTTTACTTGTTGGTTTGCTTTGGTTAGCTCGTGAGCTGTGAAATGTTCGTTGTTTACATCGACGAGGGTATAAACTGTATGATTGATGTTCTACACTTGTCTATTATCCCCATTGTGTCTATCATGCTATAACGGGTCGAGGGTATCATATGTGCTCTTTTCACATTTTAACGATACGCTCACAATATCACTTCCAACGCTTTTGAAACAATTTGTCTTGTAAAACTGCAAGCTCACCGATCCAGCTTCGGACCTCGAACGGACGAAGTCGACCGGCTCATTGCAATCTTCATCGAATCCTGCGCCTTGTCCTTTGCAGGCGGCTTCCTGGGCCAGTCGGGACAAATGTCGATATTCTCCCTCGGGAACCACCACTCCAAGAACAAAAAGAAGAGATAGTCGACGACGACGCACAGACAAAAGAGCTTGCCGGCCCAGATGCCGCAGCCGTAGTAGCGCTTGAGCCGATCAATGAGGGCAAAGTCGCGGATGCGGCTGCCGTTGTTGTACCCGCTGGTGTCGAAGCCGTAAAACTCCTCCTCGCTGATGGTGCCGCAGATGCCGTCGTAGACGCGCTCGGTGCGCATGGCGACGTTGGACCACGAGTACATCTTCTTGACCTCGTCGTGGAACTTTTCGGTGCGGATCTTGCCGGCGCGCATGGCGGTGATGGCCTTGCCCGTGGCGGCGACGATGTCGTCCTCCTCGGGCTTGGCAAACGTCGTCATGTGCGAGGGGAGGACCTCGGGGATGCCGCCGACCTGGGTGCAGACGACGTAGAGCCCGCACGAGGCGGCCTCGACGATGACGGTGCCAAAGGCCTCGGTGAGGGACGGGTGCAGGTAGATGTGGCCGCGGGTCATGACGTCGCGGACGTCCTCGTGGCGGATGGGGCCGAGCATCTCGACGCGGTCCTGCAGCACGTTGGTCTCAATCATTTGCTCCAGGTCAATAGCCTTGGGGCCCGAGCCGGCGATGATGAAGCGCGTGTTGGGGTGGTTTTCGAGGATCCGCGGGATGGCCGCGGTCAGGAGGTCGGTGCCCTTGTTGTAGAAGAGGCGCGAGATGACGACGATGGTGATCATGTCGTCGGGGCCGAGCAGGCGCGGGGACGGCTCGGCCCTGAAGCCTGCTCCTTGTTCCGACGGCGCTGGATAGTCGCGGGGGCGGAAGTTTTCGCCGACGACGGCGTTGGGGATGACGGATACCATGAGGGGATCGAGAGAGGCGCGCAGAACGGTGTTCTCCTTGCTGCAAGGAAAGTGTGTGTTAGGATGGTGAAGCACAACGTGAGATTGTCGTCATCTGAACTCACCATGTATGGCTCACGCAGATGCTGTGATCCACGTCACTCAAGATGAACTTGAGCAGCTTATTTGTCAGAATACTCGCAGCATCCGCGAACCCAAAGAGCGAGTGATCCGTAAACACAGTTCTCAGCCCCATGGTTCTGGCATGCAGGATGCCCTCGTGACAGAGAGAGCTCAAACTGCCATGGCCATGGACGATTTCGATGCGCTCGCGGATGCAGATATTCCGCAGTATGGGGAAGAAGGAGAAGACGGTGGGGAAAGTGGCCTGCCGGTAGATGACGAGAAAGGGCACATGGTAGACCTTGAGACCGTTGTTGAGATAGCGGACGCCCTTGCGGTCGTCGTGGGCGTGGGTGATGATGATGACCTTGTGGCCTCTGTCGATGAGCTTGCTCGAGAGCTGGTAGATGTGAGACTCGACGCCGCCGGGCTGCGGGAAGAAGAAGTCGCTGACCATGGCGATGTTGTACGTTTTGCGCGCCATGTTGGTGTTTCCCTTCTTCTTCTTCTTTTTTCTTTTTTCTTGTCCTGATGTGCAAGAGAATCGCGAGAGAGTGAGGCTAGATGCTCTGGTTCGTGATCATGGGTCCTTGCGGTTGTGAGAGCGGCTGATGCTGAGGCTGAGGGTGAGATGAAGCATGTGAGCGTCTAGACTATGGCTTTAGCTTGCAGCTTCCACTTCTCGCATCTTTATGTTTCACGTCATATGAGTGAGTCGAAATCACGGTCGATGCACATCGGGATCTTGAAGAGACGGTAATAGATCAAAGGCTTCATCAAAGGCGGAGGATGTTAATGTAAGAAGAGCGTCGTCGGTTATAGGCTCACTCCCTCCAATTGGATACGTCTCCATCACTGCGATGACGCTAACCCGAAGCTGCGCGATAACGCTGGCGGTGAAGCGCGGCAGAATCCCGATAACAGCTCCCGTCGCCAAATTTTTGGACGAGCTGCTGCTGGGACCTCTCTCAATTGCTTCGCATTTTGCTTGGTTCAAAGACCGACAGAGAAGCTGTCGGCGCATTTGTTATCCCTGTTTCTGGGTCAATTTCCTTTCTTCTGCTCTTTGTTTGTTTTTTCATGTGTTTATAATCTTGCCATAAAAGCGCAATGTATGCACGGTATATCCCCTCAGCGGGAGGGCAGAAGTCTACCAGTAACAATCGAGAGCCTCTTCCTGTCGCGAAGCAATCGCCGGCGCCTCCTACAGCCTCAAGTGGAGATGGACTCTCCTACTCTCGCTACATACCCGGCGTGACGCCTCAGAAGCAATCCGAGACACCAACTGTCCAGCGATTCGAAGACGAGTCAGACTCTGCGAAATCGAAGAGGAAACGAGACGATGGGGAGCAGCTACAGGAGCCGCAGGACAAGAAGTCGAAGAAGGCGAAGAAAGCAAAACGAGATATCCAGGCGGAAAATCTAAAAGAAGACGAGCATGAAGAGGCAGAAGAGGGCGAGAATAAAGCAGAGCACATCGCCAAACACACAAGGCGGAAGGAGAAGGGCTCCGAAGCCGTCCCGGAATTACCAGAATCCGCAGAGCAAGAGAAAAAGGCCAAGAGGAGCAAGGAATCCGAACCGAATGGCGCTGGAGTGAAAGAGAGCAAGAAAGACAAGAAAGAGAAGAAGAAGGCGAAGAAAGAGAAAAGGCAAAAAGACGCATCCGATGAGGCGGACAATGGGTCTACTTCCGAAGACCAGAACCCAAAACAGACCTCAGACACTTCCAATGCCCATCTCGAAGACTCTGAAATGGTAGATGCAGAGCCCGCCACAACAGACGGCATAACCCCCGCGCCCCAAGAGCAGCAACCCAAAAAGCCCAAGAAAGAAAAGAAGAAGAAATCGCAAAACGTCCCCACGGACGAAGCAGAGGGAGCAGAAGAAGAAGAAGAAGAAGACACCCGACACAAGGCCGTCTTCGAGCGCCTCGGCAAATCACTCAAATACGCCGAAATCCTCAAAGAGCAAGGCATCGACGAGGAACCCCAAGAACCAACCGAGCTCCACGGCCTAGAACCCCTCCCACAACCCGCGCGCACCGCCCCCAGCGCCGCAAAACCAACATACGAGATCCTCCCGCCGTGGCTCTCCGCGCCGATCCGCGTCTCAGTGGACACGCGGACGCCCTTCACCGAGCTGGGCATCCTCCCCAAGGCCGCGCGGGTCCTCGAACAAAAGGGCTACACAGAAGCTTTTGCCGTGCAGACGGCTGCTCTGCCACTCCTTCTCCCCTCGAACAAGCAGCAGCAGCCCGGCGATCTCCTCGTCTCGGCCGCAACAGGATCGGGAAAGACGCTGGCGTACGCTCTACCCATTGTGCGTGACGTGAGCAACAGCGTCGTCACAAGACTGCGTGCGCTCGTCGTGCTGCCCACGCGCGAACTCGTCAAGCAGGCCCAAGAGGTATTCGAGCTCTGCGCAAAAGCCTACGAGGGCGAAGACAGGAAGAGAGTCCGCGTGGGCATCGCCATCGGCAACCAGTCCCTGGCTTCAGAACAGGACCTCCTCGTCGGCAGGGAGACGCGCTACGACCCTGAAGCGTACAAGCAGCTGGAACAAGAAGCATCAAGCTCATCATCATCATCGCCCAGCAGCCAAGACGACTTAGACGCCCTCCTCCTCCTCAGCGGGCCCGACCGCCGCGCCAACCCCCGCCTCGGCCCCTGGCAAGGCCAGGTCATTGACTTTTACTCCAAAGTCGACGTCCTCATCTGCACCCCCGGCCGCCTCGTCGAACACCTCGACCAGACCCCCGGCTTCACCCTCTCCCACGTCCGATGGCTCGTCGTCGACGAAGCGGACAAGCTCCTCGCGCAGAGCTTCCAGGGCTGGCTCGACGTTGTCCTGGACAAGTTCAAGACGACGACCAGTCATCACAGCAGCAGCAGCAGCAACGTTTTGGGCGCCAGAGACTTTCCCGACATGCCGTACTCGGGCGTCCGCAAGATTTTGCTCAGCGCCACGCTGACGAGGGACCTCAGCCTGCTGAACCAGCTCGCGCTGTGGAGGCCGCGGCTGATTGTCCTGGAGAGCAGCGGGCAGGATGCGCACGTCGCGGAGCATTCGCTGCCGGAGGAGCTGAGGGAGTACGCGGTGAGGGTGCATGATGCCAACTTGAAGCCGCTGTATCTGCTTGATCTGCTACGAAGCCAACACATGGCTACTACTAGTGGAGACGACGGTGAAGCTGCAAAGAATGAGCATCTTGCTACGAAGGCTCAGTCGGACCCAAGTTCAGACACTAGTTCCGACGACTCAAGCTCCGAGTCCGACTCGTCCTCTGATTCAGACTCGGACTCGGACGCTACAAGCTCAGACTCGGATTCGGATTCAGACACGTCCTCATCCTCATCATCATCATCAAGGTCCACCAGAAGCAAGACCAAAACTCAATCCCGCATCCCCTCCAAACACTCACCCATCCCCCGATCCCTCATCTTCACCAAGTCCAACGAGTCCGCCCTCCGCCTCTCCCGCCTCCTCGCCCTCCTCGACCCGTCCCTCGCCACGCAAATTGGCACCCTCACATCCACGACGCCCACCAGCGTCCGGCGAAAGACCCTCCGCGCATTCACCACCCCGTCCTCCCCGCTGCGCCTCATCATCGCGTCCGATCTCGTGGCTCGCGGTATCGATATACCAAAGCTGCCACACGTCATCAACTACGATCTGCCGCCGAGCGTGGCTGGTTACGTGCATCGTGTGGGACGAACTGCGCGTGCGGGACGACAGGGTTGCGCGTGGACGCTTGTGGGTGACGGGGAGAGTGGCTGGTTCTGGGGCAAGATTGGCAAGAGTGCGGCTGTGAAGAGGGCGCAGAAGGTGGGACGAGTCATGATTGAGGAGATGAGCGAGGAGAGGATAGAAGAGTATGAGGCTGCGCTGGAGAAGCTGGGCAAGGAGGCGCTCGAGTCACGGAAGAAATAGAACAGGTTACCGGGAAACAAGACACATTTAGACCAGTTGTCATCAAATACCAAGCAAGATTCATATCATAACCGTGTCGGAAAAAAAGCACTTTTCCAGTTCATGTCGCCGCAAAACACATTGCTGGAATCCGGGATTCCGTCCCAAAGCAAACATTCATAACGCAGCTTACTCGTCGTTCCAGGCGTTTCTCTCGTGATGAATCGTGGACGGCTCGACCCGCGGCCTGTTGTCCTGGTCGTTTGCTGGCAGACTCTGATATCCTCGGGGATGAGGTGATTCGTCCTGTCGCTCGACAACCTCGTCTGCATCCGTCACGTCTTCCAGCAGGGGACGGCTTTCGCTGTGACGGATGCGCTGTCGTCGGCCCCAGTTGATGGAACGCCATGCATTCCACCAGTTTGTGCCCTCTCTGGTCATGAGGAGGCTCAAGATCTACAAAGGTTCAGCATGAGTTTCTGTAGACAGAATCATGACAGCAACTCACCTGCAGCAATCCAACCGCAACGACAACTCCAAAGTCAGCTCCGGCGCTACTCCGCAGCGCCGCCCTCCACGGCCCTCTACAAGCCTGACTCCTTCCAAACATTTCCGCACATATACTATACTTTTGATCAGGCTTGGGCCAAGGAAACGCCCTGTCCTTGACGGAGTTCAAACCGCAGCAATTCAGCGTATCCTGAATAAGTCGAATCGACTCCCCATCCTTGGCACGAAACATGCGCAGCCACTGGTTATCCAACAAGCACTCGACCGTCGTCGAAGGAAGCACATCCTCAAACAGCAGCGTCGCGAGGACAGTCGTCAAGAGCCCCTGGAGAGTCTGCAAGATCGTGGGGCTGAGGCGGTGGAAGGGGTTGGACGAGTGGTGCGCGGAGTGCAGGAGCGTCGGGTAGATGTACGAGTTGAGGAGGGAGATGATGGGGAGCAGGACGGTGAGGATGGTGATGGCGGGATTGATGGGGAGGGAGAGGTGGGCGCTGTGGAAGTGGACGACGCTGGTGATGGATTCGTGTAAGCTGAATGTTCGATGAGAGAGGGGTTTGGTCGAGACTTACGCTGCGACGCCGAACAGGACTGCGCTGCCCTGGTTGAGAGGAGAATCAAGGTCAGTATCTGAGGAGAGAGAAAAGAGAGAGAGACAGAGAGAGCTCTTGGGACAGCTGCGTACCAGCAGAAACACGAGGCCCAAGCCAAGTGCCATATTTCGTGGTGTTTTGCGAGCCCAGCACTCGCTCTCAACAAGTCGTATAGTATCGTATCGTGGTCCCCGTCAATAGCAAACAATATGTCGGCTACTATGTGTGTGTGTCTCCAATATACGCGCGACGACAGTAAAAGAAAATCAACAAGATCAAGCGAGAACAAGCAATAGAACAAAGAACAGAGGTGATGGAAAGAAGAAGAGTCGAGACGTTGGGGAGCTTTCTCCCCCCCCCTCCCCTCCTTGTCTTATGTCACCGGCAGTGGCGCTGCCCCATTGGGTGACTGTGGGAGGCCGACTGGTGTAATGATACAGAGAGTGACTTGTCTCGTCCACCGTATTCACATGCAGCGGATCCGTATCTATACAGCACAGATGCAGGATACCTTGGTGATGATAGCGGGAATATGTCCTTTGAATGTACAGTTGATGAAATGACAGGTCTATCAAAGTGCAGAGAGTGCCGTACCTACTAGGTAGGTACTTACTCGTTCATAGCCCGCATCTGTATGGTTGGCGCTTCTGCAATGTGACGATGCCGGTGGAAGAAGAAACGTGGATGATGTAATGAATGCGACGAGAGCTGCGAGAAAGGCGATCCATGCAGAGGAATTCCCAATCAGTCGGTGAGCCTTATAAAAGGAAAACACAGCGTTTTAGATTGTGAAAACTTGGGTTCTTATTGACACGAACATCAATCACTTACTGGAGAGCGATCATGTTCTTGGTGGCTGATTACCTTGAGTAGGGCAGTTAGTAGACGGGTGTTAAAAGTACGCCATCAAGGTTCGCAGTCTTTTCTCTATGCCAAATATTCACCTCTTTTCTTCTTTCACTTGTGAAGTATGGGTTACTCGATGCGTTTGATGCTGTATAGATGACAATCTTTCTCACGATAGCATCCTCTCCCTCCAACACCGTCAAAAGGTCATCCAGGTTGAGCAATTCAGTAAGCTGGTTTTGATCCGAACTGACATCTAGTGATTGTGCACACCAAACAACCGACGGCTAATTGGCATAGGCGTGGATGTCACATCACCCGCATAAGCACGATAAATCAATCACATTCTCCAGAACCTCTGCGTGGATGTCATACAATTTCATTCAGAAATGAAGGCTACATAACAGACATGGAAACAACATGCCCCGTCCCATAGGTACTCATATACTACTAATCGTGACAAGCTGCTTCTCCCTTTGGTTGGATATCATTTTTGTTTGGATTTTTTGCTTTTTGTTTTGTTTTGTTTGTACAAGCTTAGAACAAGGGACCGCCCAGGCGAATGGCGACAGACTTGTTCTGGGTGTAGTTGGCCAGCGCAGCCTCGCCCAGCTCGCGGCCAAGGCCAGACTCCTTGTAGCCGCCAAAAGGCATCTGGTGGTGCAGCAGGTTGTAGCAGTTGACCCAGACGGTGCCGGCCTGGAGGGCGTTGCTGACGCGGATGGCCGTGTTGAGATCCCGCGTGTGGACGGCGGCGGCCAGACCGTAGTTGGTGTCGTTGCCCAGGCGGATGACCTCCTCCTCGTCCTTGAACTTGGCAATGGCGGCGACGGGGCCAAAGATTTCCTCGCGCATAATCTTCATGTCGGGGTGGACGTTGCTGAAGACGGTGGGCTTGATGAAGTAGCCCTTGTCGCCGTGGCGCTCGCCGCCAATCTCGACCGTGGCACCCTCCTCCTTGCCCGACTGGATGTAGCCCATGATGCGGTCAAACTGCAACTGGCTGACCTGGGGGCCCTGGAAGGTCTCGTGGTGGAAGGGGTCGCCGACCTTGTTCTTGAGGGCGCGCTCCTTGAAGGCCTCGAGGAACTTGTCGTAGATGCCCTCCTGCACAAAGATGCGCGTGCCGGCGCAGCAGGTCTGGCCGTGGTTGTAGTAGATGCCAAAGTTGACCCATGAGATGGCCTGCTCAATGTCGGCATCGTTGAAGACAATGTTGGGGGACTTGCCACCCAGCTCGAGGGTGACCTTCTTCAGGTTGGAAGCGGCGGCAGCCTTCATGATGGAGCGGCCGACAATGGTTGAGCCGGTGAAGGCGACCTTGTCAATGTCCATGTGGGCGGCAATGGCGGCGCCGGCCGTCTTGCCAAAGCCGGAGATGAGGTTGAAGACTCCGGGAGGGAAACCAGCCTCCTTGACGAGTCCGGCGAAGACGAGAGCTGACAGGGGAGTCTGCTCAGCAGACTTCATGACAATGGTGTTGCCCGTGGCCAGCGCAGGTCCAATCTTCCAGGCAAGCATGAGCAGGGGGAAGTTCCAGGGAATGATCTGACCGCAGACACCAAGCTATATCGGGGGAGTTCCAGTGGTTAGCAAATCTCAGCTCAGCTTCTCGGTAGGCTACACTTGTTGCTCGTTCTTGACTTACAGGCTCCTGGCGGGTGTAGTTGAACATGTCGGGGGCAATGTCCAGCGTCTTGCCCTCGATCTTGTCGGCCCAGCCACCGTAGTAGCGGATGCATCCAACGACGGCGCCAACGTCGCCCCGGGCCATGGTGATGGACTTGCCATTGTCCAGAGACTCGACGGCGGCGAGGAGCTCGGCGTTCTTCTCGGCAAGATCAGCGAGCTTGAGGATCAGGCGGGCTCGGTCGCCAGGGGAGGTGGTTCTCCATGTTGTGTTGAAGGCCTTGCGGGCGGCGGCCACGGCCAGATCGACGTCCTTCTCGGTACCTTCGCAGACGGAGGTGATGACCTCCTCGGTGGCGGGGTTGACGACCTCGAACTTTTTCTTGTCGACACCCTCAACAAACTCGTTGTTGATGAAGCTGTTGAGTGGAGGCTGTTAGTTGCTTGCTGGTGCCGATATAGAAGAGTGAACCAGAGAATAATCAAGAGGCGGGACTCACAGGCCAATGGGCTGGGTGTAGGGGCCCGTGATGGGGGTGTTGAGCTCGACGGTCAAAGCCATGGCGAAGGTTGTATAGGTATGATGAGACGACGAATTGAAGAGAGAGAGAGAGAAGGGAAAGGAAGAGAAGATGGGAGGCAAGAGGATAATGAAGGAAAACGAAGATCCAAGAAATTGGGTGAGGGGCAGGAGGGGTATTTATGACGAAAGAGGGAGCGCGGTGAAACAGCTGCCCGATGCAGGAGAGGATGGAGGGAAGGAGTACAAAGTCGTGAACGTGATGGGGAACAAAGCTGGGCCAATGTATTCGCAACTCAGTGCCCGTATCTGGATGTACATACGAATGTGCGTACCTATGTAGGTACGAGACCAGCTCCAAGGTCCTCCCTCCTTTGCCTCCTCCGGCCGCGTCGACGTGTTGGAAGCGGGGGCGAATCGTCTCAACCTCAACAACCCGGACAGACCAGGACCAGACCAGACGCTATTACCCCAGCCGTTTGCCCTGTAATGTCGGGTCTGCTGTGTGTACTCGTACCTGTACGACCCAGGCGTGGATACGGCCTCGGGACATGGGGTGCGTGTCGACGGGACCCTCCGTGTCGACGACGGCTTCAGCCTTGAGCGGATTGATAATCCATCCAGCTGCAGACGAGGACTCGTACCGCCCCGGTACCGGTACATGTGTCCCTTAGAACCTATCTATTACTGAACTATAGTACCCCCCGCGAGCAGCAGCAGCAGCAGCAGCAGCCCATCAATCTCTTCACCAACCTCTACAGTTAGTAGCGACGATAGCCGCAAGAGCTGGCTCCAGCCCATTGATCCATCCCCATCACAAGGGCCCTTTCGCACTGGCTCGTCTCGTCCATCCCGCCCACCGGCTAGAGCGCCAATTGCATTGAGATCCGCAGCGGGACCCGGGCTGCCGGGGGGACCCAGAGCCGCCGGGCTAGGGTCAACTTGGGTAATAGAGGCCAAGAGGCTGGAGTTGAGGAGTCGTACACTAGAACAACCTACTGTACAGAGTTGGGTGGACAAGACTCGGTTCGTCAGGGGAGGCGACAACTCGTGCGCAATTCGTTCTCTCCCCCTCCCCCCACCAGCTTCTGAGCCACCTTTGCGTCAAGCTGCCCTTTAGTGCGGTAACTGTGTTGGTACTTGGAAATACTAGTCCCCTCTCCTCTCTCTCACAGCCCCCCCAGACGAATCACGGAGGTCAAACAAGGGCGAGTCTGGGGTCTTGAGACGGTACCCCGCAGCTTTGCCCCGGGGGGGCTCATGATGGCATCCACGTCCGAGGCGCTTTTACGTTTACCCAGATGTCTTTCGATAACCCGCGATTGCACGGCATTCCTGATACTAAGTACCTTAGTACATAGTAACACTAATATCAACCATGCTCAGCAGCAATCCGATCCTCCTCCGTACGCCCTATCGTGGGAGCCGTCATGCGTAATACTAATAAGAACTGGTGGCCAGATGCAGTGAGATGTGATGGCAGATGCACCCTTGCGTGCCGCGTCTGAATAATAATCCTGGTACTATTGCCTCTGCTCTTCTCCGCATTCGCATGCATCTGCGTCCACGGGCCAATCGTCCGGTCTCCCGCCAACCTTGTCGGCGCATTTCGCATGGGGGCAGTATGTAATAGAGAGTATAGTATTCGTATGTATCACAGACAAAGCGAGACTGATCGTCTTGACGCCGAAACAGCCTGCACCTTGGCTACCCTTTCGTCCAGCCCCAGTCGACTGCTGACAACATGAATGAAGTCAAGACTTCGTTGGTGGCCAAGTCATGCAGCGATGCGCCGTTTGTAATCAAACCGTCTCGAGCTTCTCAAGAAAGCCGAACTGCCCGTGAGTCCTCATGATGTCGCTCATTGTGCTTCTTGAGTACCTAGATAGGCAACCAAGCATCTCATCGTCAAAGGTTGCATCTGCACGCCAACGCCAACGCCAAGCACCTCCAAGACGAGTCATTGCTTCACCACAATGTCCGATACAAATCAAGCCTCAACGGGAGCTGTCCGGTGAGCGGGATGTTCCGTGTCTCTCGCGGTGGCTCCCCCCATTTCTCAGCGCGCATCATGTTATATCGCAAATCAATCCATATGTCCGGCAGATGCATCTCGAAGCCACACAACAAAGATACCTAATACTAGCCAGAGATGCAGAGATGCCTCCAATGGCCGGCCACTTTGAATGCGAGGTGGGCTTCTCCCGCTTCCGGAATCAGCTCGGATTCCTCCCTTTTCAGCGGCTCAGGATACTATTACTATTACCCCGCTCCCCCTCCAGATGCCCG